CCCCCCCCCCCCCCCCCCCAGCGGCACTGAATACACGTTATATTAAAATGAATTTTCGTACACTCATTTGTCACGGTGTTTGACATCAAAAGATTTCATTTCATAAGAAAAAACGTCAAATTATCAAGCTATTATGACCGTAACAATACAGGATTTAAATTGCAACGAATTCAATCCTAATATAAGTCAACATGACCCGCTGAGGATGTATCGCGCCCTCAAGTGAAGAACCGATGCAAGTGGTGAAGACCACTTGAGGGCGCCGTAAGCGTTCGGATGATGATTTGCTGCGCTGAACTGAACTGAAAAAAGTGACATGCATACCGTACCGTACGGTTCACTGACTTCGACCGTTACCATAGTCATGATAGTAAATTCTGTAGCTCATCGGCTCAATATATTTGTGTAGCCTAATTCTGGTCTATGTATTTTACCCAAAATGCAAATGGAAACAAGAAATACCCCGTTGGTGTCCTCAATGGTCCAAACACGGTCCTTCGAGAGAGTGTTGGCCCCCATTGCAGCCCAGGTAGGCCAAAAATTCTATTAAAAATGATAGTGGATATTTTGCCGGAGGTAATGACGGCAAACTAACGTTTACTAAAGGTTTGCCGGCGGCAATCCATATCAACAGAGGGCGCTGTACTCTTTAAGATAGGGCTGAATTATAAGATGTATTAAATTCCCATCAAAAGTTGTGTAGCACGTTTGGTGTCATGGGTGTACAGTGTAGTGGTTAAGCAAAGGCTTTAGTAAGCGGGATGACTCGGGTTCGATTCCGACCGCATCACATTTTGAAAGTTTTTTTTTCTCATCCCCAAATAAATAAGAATATTCTTCTTTATTATTTTAACATGTCTCAAACATTTTTTGCAGAGTATTACATTTTCTTTTTCAGATTTGTGGCTCTGGAGGATTTTTTTTAAAAGGGAAATATAGTCCGAAATTATAAAATGGTCTGAATCCCATCTTGTGAATACGAGGTTACAACTATAATTTTTGCATGGAGCCAGACTAAAATTTGTCACCGGAAAATGTTTAAGTACAAAAAAACAGTAACTGCGCATGTTCAGTGCATATCCGGCAAACTAACGTTTACTAAAGGTTTGCCGTCTCCGGCAAAATATACACTGCCATTAAAAATAGAGGTGTCCTAAAACTTTGTAAAAGTAAGGATTAGTTTACCGCGGTACTTATCACGTTTCTCGTTCGGAATAGAGATTGCCCACTAACCTTCCTGAATTGTCCTGCCTTTTGTGAAGAATAACTCTTCCTTTTTAAATTAATATAAAAAAAATCTGACGGTGGTGTGGTTTATTCTGTGTACGATGCCTGTGAAAATAGACATGCGCGGAGTGTGCGAATGGAGGTGGACTCCCTATTATCGCGGTATGTGGGAAGTGGGTTTTAAAATGAGCCCAACTTTTTTATTCATAGTTAATGTTTGACCAAAACATCCCCTGAATAAAGTCTGATATTTTCCCTGTAATGTTCAAGTTGATTACAGACTATGGGAAAAGTTCCATACTCGGATGTCAATTTATCTGCTGCCAAACATATTTATTGTCACCTCGCCTTGTCATTTGAACCAAAAGAAATCCAGGAAGCTGTGTAAAGGTGAAAAAAATGTACTCAAAATGTGTTTTTAGAGCACATTTTGGATGCATACGTCGTGCAGAACTAACTTGAAGCAGCCGGTCAAAACTGATTGTAGTGGCTGAAAAGACAGCGGTACGTTATACACGTGACATCAACAACCATGACGTCGCATGAGCCTGCCAATGATAGTTCAATACGTCATTATGAATATTTATTTTCTCATGAATATTTAGTTTATTTCAATGGATACTTCAAATACGTCCAAAGATTGATGATTGCAACAGCGATCGTGCGCGGCCTAGCGGTTAAGAGTCTCGTGTATCAAGCAAGCATCAGAGGTTCGAATCCCGATTAAGTAACTGACTGATTAATAAATAGGAATTAAGGAAAGGAGAGGGTGAGAGTAGAGGAGGGAAAGTGGAGGAATAACCGTAAAAGATGTAACTTTTGGCGCTAGAAAATTAATTGAAAAAAGTGACGTCCGAGTATGGAATTTTTTCCGGCAAGTCTACTGATCGGCGATTGAGGGCGCCATTCACTTTACACGGTGTGCCGTTTTATTTTCGCAAACGCGCGGTGCTTGTTTTGATCCTGTAAAAGTTGTTACAGTTTAGCGCTGCAAATATCGTCGTTCGACTTCATTTTACATTTGCAGCTGAAGAATGGGAACCTGACAATGGAACTTTCATGGACAGAGCACCATTAATGATTTATGTTAAAATATAAACAGTACCCTTAGCAGACACGGTGAGGGAAAATTTTGCAAGTTTTGGAAAATGTTAATATTTATTAAAATCGTTAAAAGTCCCGAAAGACACAACATTTTTTAATCGTCCTTTTTATACAACTTGGTAGAAAATCCTTGATGACTGGTGAAGATGGATAAAAATCGCCACTTGAAAGAGTTTTGGCTACGCAAAAAGAGAAATTTCCCATGCTGCGATAATAGGGATGCCGCGATAATAGGGAGTCCGACTATACCTCTTTTTCTACAAATTCTAGAATTAGAAAGAAAAGGGGTAGGCCTAGGCCTAGCCCAGGTGGACTCCCTTTCCTCCCTACGTTACAGAGGGAGTCCAGGATATGAAGTGCTCAAAACCTTTTCTTTATAAAATCGTATATCAATTATTACTTCTGAAATCAGAAGGCTTCTCTCCGTCACGGCGTCAGCTGACGGAGAGAAGCCTTCTGATTTCAGAAGTAATCAATTATCATCTCAATGAAGGTGATTCAATTGCAAAAATGATGATAAGACATGAATCTGGGACTGAGAAACATTTCCAGTTGTGCACTGGGTGACAAATGATGGCCAGATATGGGAATCTTTCCGGAAATACTTCGAAAATTTTCGTGACTCTCCATAGACTTTGTACACAACTGCTGAAGTAGCGTCAGGTTGCAACATTCTTTCCATAATTCCATAGGGCCTATATGGATGTCACTTGACACCCTGTGTACAAACGGTATGACTGAGTAGGCCCATATATGACTTTATGAGCAATGAGACTGGTCTGAAAAACTAAGAGTTTTCTCCGCGGAGAATCATAGTTCACTACCGCTTTCTGATGGCTGACCAGTTATTGCAGGAAAAAACTAGTGGCGTACGTACACATGTATGAATTCTGTCTGTAGTGGTTAAAAGACTCACCGAACAGCGGACTATTGGCAAACTGGAAAAAAAGATAGGAAAGTCATAGCTTGAGTAACTCCAGCCCCAATGCTTATCGCATTAGAGCTGGAGGCACAACTACATGTACATTAAGAAAACTTGATCATGTCGATCGTAGGCCCAAAATCCGGGACTGTATATCCCCCAGTGTATCACAAAACGGTCCATTTTCACTCTATTATCCCAACCCAGACATGCCAGATTCTGGAATGTATTATGGAATCTGGGTTGGGATAGCAGAGGGAAAATGGACCGTTTTGGAATACACTGGGAGATATACGGTCCCGGATTCCGGGCCTCTTATGATCTATTTTTTTTAACACAGTTGTGCCTTCAGCTCTAAATGTGATGAGCATTGGAGCTGGCGTTACTCAAGCTAGGAAAGTCTGATTTTCTTTGACAGTGCTTTCAAAATTACAACTAACATGACTAGCATTAGTTTATCTGAAGAAAAAAAAAACTGCTTTTAAGTTCTATGGCCTGCAAAAGTCTTAGGTATTGAACAGTCAGCTGCAAAGGCCAGTTTTGAACAGAGCTCATAAAAAATAGAGGTGTCCTAAAGATGAGGATAACCCTATATATGATGGAAAAAGTGGTGTCAGGTTGCAACATTCTTTCCGGTAGGCAGACCTGTAAACATGGCGTCAATAACTATGGTATGCAATGCTCCAGCCTTGCGTAAAAACACTGGAAATTGTCACGCAGCACAATTATAAGTGCAATTGTAATTATACATTGTACATTGTACTTGCATTGTGAAAGGTTTCTGTAAATTCGCGTTAGCGTAGGATCTTGAATTGCCAAGAAATTTGAGGGGAAAAAACAGCCTCAACACAACAAACGTACGAGCAGAAGTTTTGAGTTTCTGAGGTCAGAACTTTTGATTTTCTGAGGGAGACCTTGCTTTTATTACGCGGAAATTGCCAGAAACTATAAAATAGGCCTAAAACTTCAAAAAAATTAGTTCTGGTTGCACCAAAGAACTTGCACAAAAGTGCCAAACATGACCTGTTGGGAGACCTTTTCTTGTTGATGACATTGCAGGTCTCTCAGTTGATCATCCTGAATGAGTCTGCCGAGACGGAAGGGGGCAAGCTGCCCAACTTGGTCCCCTTCGCCCAGCAGGTGCTGCGAGCCACGGAGGACTTGGCCCAAGTCGGGCAACATCTCATCAGCCAATCCACAGATGAGGTACGATGGAAAAACAATGTTATTAAACAAAAACAACAATAAAAACATTCAAATATACAGCTTATGCGTAACAGCCATGTTCGAGGGCATCTGCTGTTTTTTTTAATTAAGTAACAATGAAAACGCAAAAGGTTTAACAAAGGCATTGCCCTCTAAGATGGCTGCTATACATGAGGTATATAAGGGTCATCTCATTAAAAACCCTAACCTTCCCAAATCCTGCAAAATGCTATTTGCCATTTAATGGAGCATTTTGCAGGATAAAGGTTACATGGAAAAAGTGTGGCGCATTTCTGAGGATGCACTGTGTCAAGGTCTTAGGCCGGAGCTTGTGTTGTTTATGTTACCTGAAATCCTCCGCACTGCTCCAGGATGGCACTGGGTCTGCCACAACATATTGACAGTGATTGCTGGAGGATTTTGCAGGATTGAGACAGTGGTGACACTTCCAAGGACCACATTCAAGAAATAATGGATGATTTTGGAGGATAGTGTCTGTATGTTATTTTTACATGGAGACAGTTGGATGATTGTGCAGTCTTGAGGTTACATCCTAGCAAAAATGCCTAGGGAGTTAGTGTTATCTCCAGGATAAATTGCAGACAAGCTTATCTGCAGTAGGTCTATAGCAACGAGTATATCAGTTTCTGAGCAACTTCCTTGGAATCTGTCCACAGATTATAAGAATTCTTTACAAACTTCAGAGCGGGAAGATTCCGGTGATAAAACTCCTGTGAAACTTGTTTATTATATTGGCTAAAGTTAATGTATTTACAACGTGACAATGCAGAACAAAACAAGGTTTTCAATGCAACTATTGCTTTTAACACTTGTCCAACTTCCATATCACAAGAACAGGTGCAATTTATTTGTGAAAAAAAAATGGACAAAACAACAGACCGATCCGAAACATGTGAGTTTCGCCCAAAACACAAAAACACTGACATGTGTGCACGTGCGTATCACGAGAATGGCTGGAGCATTCAATTTGGCATTAGAGAGTGACACGTGTTGTCATAGCTGTTGCTGAGGTGCACAGTGGGCGGGGCCTAATAAAAGTGGGAGGCGCAGCAATGCAACAAAAAGCAAACCAAGAAATGTTTTCAGCCTACAACAAATCCTGCTCCTTTTTTTGTGTTCACCATCTGTAATTTTCTCCCCTCAAATTGGCATGCTCAGGAGCTCTGCGCAGAAATGCCCAAGGCCTGTGACCGAATGAAGTCGACAGGCCGCAACGTTCTCATGGCCGTACAGAGACTACAGGCTGAGCCTCACTCCGATGCCGCCAAGGAGAACATGGTGACGGCTGCGAGGAGACTACTACAGGCAACTGTGAAGGTACATGTAACTGAACCCCAGTTCTCATCCGTAACAATAAGTAAGGGATAGTAAGATACAATGTATGGAGTGTTTAGGCTGGTAGTGGAGCACCGTGGTCCAGTGGTTACGGTGTTCGACTCGTGGTACGTGGGTTCGAACCCTGACAGGGAACATGGTGCTTGTGTTCTTCGGTAAGACACTTAACTACAATTGCCTCTCTCCACCCAGGAGTGTAAAATGGGTACCTGTGAAAGTAGAGACCAGATTGCACTGATCTGGAGCTGCTGCAGAAAAGTTTTGATCAAGTTACAGTCAAGAGTATTTTTTTTTTATTATTTAAAATGACTCCTCCAACCTAAAACACACTTCTCTCAATTCTAATGACCCTTTTTTGTTGTTATTTTAGTAGTATCTTTCGGTAGAAAATGCAGTTTTCTTACACATTGTACATTTGATGCAATGCGAATCAATGCGGTTTTATGCATTCACAATGTGTTGTGGTGATCGCCTCAAATCAAACCTCTGCCCTCTATCCCCAATCATGCCAATACTCCTATTGGTTTTATGTGTCGCTTACTAGTTTAATAAGTCCAATATCCTAAAAGTGGATATTTGTTTTGTTATAGGAATGGGGCCAGTAACTACACAATTGCCATAATTGTGAAGTGCTTTGAGACCGTTGAAAAAGCGCTGTATGAGCGCCACATTATTTTTATTATCAATTATAATTTTCCATTTTTTTAAAAAGAGGTTTCACAGTTTCATTGCTTCATACATGTAGTCAGTTTTGTTATCCTCCACATCGAACGCATCACAGCATTGTGCTGTCTGCTACGGTATTTTCATCATACACACTCAGTACAAGTAGATGTATGTACTTTAATTCTGTACAAATGCAAAAAAGTACAGCTGCATATCGAAGTCCAAACTACAGCTGTTGCAGAATTTAGTGATGCAAGAGTTGTTCTGATGTACGAATGTATTCAGAGCTCATTTGCATTTATATTAAGCCATCACAACACAGCTTTCTTGGGGGGGGGAGAGGAAATTTTCACTGTCATAAATAACCTTTAGGGCAGCTGCATATATGATTGCAAACTCAGTTTCGAAAACACTTTTCATACGTGCCTGTTTCGCCTGTCAACTGCACTAAAGGTCCTGCTTGTGTCGGACGGTGCTGAGGTCCGTCGCATCATCCAAGCCGCCCACTTTGTGCTGGACAGACTCCGCCTCCTACAGTCCCTGGAGTCTATGAAGGCTCTGGTGGTTGCCTTTAAGGTAAATTTCTGAAGTGACAGTTTCTCTTTCCTTTTTTCTGAATTGTTTTGGAAACATCCTGTGGTGCAGATGTTTTTATTTCAGGTGCATGTTCGTAGAATTTAAAGTAGATGGCATGGATTTTTGAATGAAAATGCAGCGCGATAGTAGAATGCAGCCAGCAAAGGAGAGTTTCAGTTAGTATGAAGAAAATCATCATTAGCGCACAGTCGTGTTTTACCTTCGTCTGTTGACAAAGCATTGTGTTTTCCTTTGTTCTTATAATATAACACTCTCCCACACGGACTTGTGTTCGATGAACGTTAGAACAAGAATCCGTTGTTCTGTCTTTGACTTGCTGTCCTCGGGGTAGTACTTGTACGTACTTTACATACATCCCGAGGACAGACAGACAAAAGGACAACAATAGATTCTTTGTTGTCCTCAAGAGTTCACGTTTTGTTGAAAACGGTCCTCAATCATGAGTTTGCATTCTTAGACTATGGGGAGTGTTATATTACAGGGACAAAGGAAAGACAATGCCTTGTCCTCGAGAGTTGTGTAAAGTACGACTGTCCACACTAGGTATGTAACGTAGGCCTGATTTTTTTTCTGCATTCAATAGGGGACGTTGAACAACAGAGGACAATTGGGTCCCAAATACCCAAAGGTCCCCAATTTAGAATCGTGTACAAAACATATGGGAGCCTCTTCCTAAAAAGTTAGAGTACAAACAAAAGAGGGACAATAGGGGGTTCCCCAATTGCAGGCAAATACACACTTGTGTGCGTTTGTTTATGGTGTAAATCGAGGACACACACGTGCAACATCATTGATGAATCGAGGACAGGAACCAAATCTAGGACGACCTCGATTAGAAAACGTGCACAAAACCAATGAGAGCTGTTGGAAAAAAGTTATGGTACAAGCAAAGGAAAAGGAAAGAGGAACAATCCACGATTTACACCATAAACAAACATGCTAGTGTGTGTGTGTGTTTGTAGAGAGCAAGATGAGACACCCATTTACTAATCGTTCACTGCCATTTTTATTGCATTGGCCTCAATAATGCACATTTTGAAAAATGCAAACAGATCTGAAAATTGCCACATAAAAGCTGTACAACTTCGATCCTAGTGTACAAACAAGAATGCTCTCATGAATTGTTCCCAGGATACTGAGTTTCATGCTTCCGTCTTGACTGTGACAGTCTGTGAATGATTGTACATTCCGTCCCGTTTATTTCAGGCCTTCACAGAGTCTGTGATGACGCTCAGCGGTCTCTGCGACCGACGACAGCAGGACCTCACCCAGCCGCAGACAAAAGAGAGAATCCTTGTTGCCATGGATACCCTACGCAAGGCAGTGCCCACGCTCAGCGCGGCCATGCAGACCTACGTCAAGTACCACGGCAGCACCCAGGCCAAGGTTGGTGACTCATTTTATCTACAGTAAACCCCGGCTTAACCGACATCGTACAATTCATCAAATCGCTCAAGTCGGCCATCTGACTAAAGTCCCGATTGTCCGTAATGTATTTCCATTGAATTTTTTATTTCTAAGTCGGCTTTTATAAGTCGCCATTTCGCTCAAGTGTTACTCATGGTCCCCTTTCCTTAAAAAGCGTTACAAAATCCTTTGTGTTAGTCGGCATTCAACAAATCACACATTGGTACGCATGCGCTCTGTCCATTTTGGGGGTCGTTTTATTGAATGACTAGTGCTGCAGTCAATGCATGCGTGGTGTACAGGACCACGGTACGCATTGAATTTGTTACTGTGCACGTTCATAATCGTGATGATACAATTCGAGGATTAATTTGCTGGATTCAGCTCAAGCATTAAGGAGATAATCCAGGGTAAATCAAAGCCAATTAGGGCAATGAATCATGTGTGCAAAAGGCCATTCATGTAGGTTGGCAAAATGACGATTTACAGCAGATGTCGGCATTCGCGTAAGTCGTCACAAATTCTCGGGTCCCGAGAGTGCCGACTGAGCCGGAGTATACTGAAGGTGTCTGACGTTAAGGTATTTTATTGCTGCTGCTTAAATTTTTGCCATTGACATGCTATGGGGAAAAGCCTTAGGCAAGACAACATTTCTTACACCATCCTACCCTTCCCCAGTTCAACGTCCCCCTAAAAAGACAAGTTTCTATAACCTTGAAATATTTGGTGTACATAATTATGTTCTGTAGGTGAATTGGTTTCTTAAACTTTTTTTTTTACTCTTTAGCATGTTATGTTGAGAACGCTTTCAAACTTTTATTCATGTATTTTTTTTGAGAGAGCAAAATACCCTAAGGCTGAAAACTTGTAGGAATAAAAAAGAAGTACAAATGTATTTACTTGTCCAGGCATCCTCAACTATGAACATGTCATGTATACATGCATAATGTTTACATACATTTATCAAATGTACATACCAAAAAACCCCTACTGACTCTTCCTTTTTGGCGACATTTTTATTTTGGCCTTAATTTTGAAGTTTAGATCCCAGCTAATACCTTATTACTCAGTGATGTCCTTATGTTGCTAAGATTCACAATGTAGTGCGCCGCGCAGAGTTTGCCACAGAGAGTTCATTTTCTCAGTGAATTGTGGGAGATGGTCGACGAATTCGCAGCGCGGGACATTTAAAATTGTTAGTTTTTCCGGTCAGTAGTTTCGTAAGCGTATGATTCGAGTATTACATGTATGTTTGCCCATTTCTTTTCTTTTTATCAATATGGTGTTTTTTTGTAAGGCGGCAGAACCCTATGCCCCAATCTATAACAAATTAGCTCAAGTTGTCTAAAGACACTTGTTCAAATGGGCCATGTTTTGTCGACTGTGAACTTGAAAAATGGACTCTCCATGGCAAATTCTTGGTGGCGCACTGCATTATGAATCGAATGAATTGGGTGAATGTCTTGGAATTTGGTAGATTGAAAAATCTCATTCATTTTACTCTCATGTTTTGTTCCGTTTATGAGCGAGCTCAACTTCTCTCATGCCCATTCTTTGTGTTGATTTTTTGTTGGCAGGCAAGTCGTGACTTTGTAATCAGTCAGGTATCCTCTGCCATCGCAGACATCATTCAGCTGATGGGGAGTCAGTTACCAGACTCATCGGGAGATAGGGATGATGGGGTAGAGGCAACAGCACAGCAGGAGATGCATCAGGAGGAGCCTGGCCACTTTGCCAAAAAACTTGACAAGGTTTCTATAAATGTCTTTTCGTTGTTTAACCTTTTGCCAATCACAACAAGGTACGACAGGTATACAAGTCTGCAGTGATGCAGTTGAGTCCACCTCGTTCGAGTTGGAGCCGAGCGGAGATCACGAAGACTCGAGTCTGAGCCATGTCCAAGCCATTTTTCTAGCCTGAGTCTGGCTCAAGTCCGAGTCCAAATTGTCAAGTCCGATCCCAGTCCAAATCCTGTCGCGAAAGGGTTTTCATAGCAGAATATGGGCGGGCCACGAGTACACTGTCGAATTAATCTCTTGTGATTATTCTACAACCTAGTAAGGTATCTAAAAGAAATTTTCCCAGGCAGGAGTTAAATGTGATCAGACAACAGATGCAGGACTGTTTTTAAAAACTTTTTTCCCCTCAATTTTTTTCTCAGTGGACTTGATTCGAGTCCGACAAGTAGTCCGAAGTAAGACAGAAGCCGAGTCTGAGCCAAGCCGAGTCCAAAAGGCCATGAGTCCAAGCTGAGCCACATCAAGTCTGTCACGAGCCAATATGGCCCATCAGGCCGGCGTTCATCTCTGGTTTCCTTGTCATGATACGACTCAGAATATTTCTATTCCCCCTGGATGGGATGCCATATCCATCGCAGGTTACTCCCCAGCTAATGCCAGTACCCATTTATACTCCTGGGTGGAGAAAGGCAAGTTGGGGAGGTGAAGCGGCCTGCCCAAGGTCACAACATATGTGATGAGATCAAGCTAAATGAGTCGTTTGTCGGAAATTTTTATTTGGAGATACAGGCCAAAATAGGGCCACTTCATCACATCACTTTATCACATCTCTTGGTTATTCCAACTTCCATAATTTGTGAACTAAAGATGGTATCGGCATGCGGTTTTCACAGCAGTAATGCTGAGATGGCCGCTCTTTTCAAATCTGTAATAAATTTTTTTTTGACTAGGGTCGACAAACGACTCATGTAGCTTGATCGCATCACATATGGCCAGCAGCTGGATTCGAACTCCTGACCCTCTGATCAGGAGTCACGTAACCCTAACCACTAGGCCACGATGTACTTTAATGATATAGGTTTGTCAATGTTTAATATTTTGCTCTCTCAGTTGATACAGCTGCTCTCTCCCAACCATCGCACGTTGCTGGACGGTGATTTCTACAACCACGTAGGGGATGTAGTTCGGCACAGTATGTCTGTCAGTGCGCTATCCAGGGACAATCTGCGGCAGCAGATCACTGCATCGTGCAAACAGGTTTGTCCTTAAGCTGATTTGATGGAGTGTCTAAGAATAGATACTTACTAAGCATAGATGAGATTTGCTTAGCAGAAATAGGTTATCTGCCAAAATGTCGTGACGATTGTAACTTATCTTGCTTCTATCACAAACATCTGTTCATGATTACAGCCATATGTGCTCCACTGACAAAAAAACAAACTTGTTCTCATTGATTGTCCTCTAAGATTTTTGAAAACGGCTGTCTGAAAGCAGTTTTTTTTTTCTATTTTGTAAAAAAAATCCATAAAAATTATTTACAGCTTTGGTATATTGGCAGAAATACCATATAACTGCTATCGTTGATATACTTTAAAGCATGAAGAGTGTGTGTGGGTTTGTTTTTGCATTCAATAGGGGACGTTGAACAATAGAGGACAATAGGGTCCACAATTCCTGAAGGTCCACGATTGACGATCGTGTACAAAACATATGAAAGGTCTTCCTAAAACGTTAAAGTACAAACAAAAGAGGGACAATAATTGGTCCACGATTGAAGGTGTTTACACATTTATGTGTGTGCTCTTGTATGGCTTTATGATTGAGGATAGACACACAAAGGGAGAACGAAAGATCCTTCCAGTTCTCGAGCGTTGCGTCTTTTGTTGAAAACGGTCCTCGATCGTACGGTTATGTGCTTAGTCTATGGGAAAGTGTTTATATTACAGGGACAAAGGGAAACACAAAGCATTGTCCTCGGGCTTATAGAAATTCACGACTGTGTGTGTTCACGAGTTGATCGTGTGCAAAGTGTGGGATCGGCCGCGAAGGGGGCAACTAGCCCTCCGTATGGAATCAAGAGTTTCTCAACATTTTGACAAGTATGCTCAAGTCCTAGGCCCAATTTCGACACGCTGCTAACCACAAAAATTCGCTTAGCACAAAAATAGCATGGCTTATAAAAGTAGGTTTGCCAGCCAAAACTCCACATGATGTATATTGTTCGTGATTAGTATTCAGCTGTTTTTTGCTTAGGATGAAAATCACATGGAGTTTGGGCTGGTAACCTGCTTTTATAAGCCAGACCATTTTTGTGCTAAGCAAATTTTTGTGCTTAGCAGCGCCGTGAAATTGGGCCCATGTCAGGAATCTGTCTTTCCTGACAACGACCAGAGCACACTTTTAAAAACGTTGGCCTTTCCACCATAATTTATTACATAAGAAACAATAACAAGGTGTTTCTGCAAACTGTTAAAAAGACAGGGTTATCTCTACCGTGCAAAGCCTCAACTCATACACTTTTATGGCTTCCAGATTTTGAAGCAGCGTGGCTTGATCCAGGACCGGTCGGAGGGAATCAAGGACAACCCAGACTTCAAACAGCTGCGCTCTGACTATGACCAGAGCTGCGAGCACCTAGCCAAGGAACTACTGGTCCTGGAGAAGCTGGTCAAGTTTGCGCTCATCGGGCAGACCGTCGATGCCTTTGTGGAGACAGTGGAGCCCCTGGACAGAATGGTCAAGGCCGCTACAACCACACTTAAGGTAGGACAGAGGCAAGGAGATGTAGCTTACCCAGCCTCGACTCCATGGTCCTGGAGAAGGTCCTGGAGAAGCTGGTCAAGTTTGCGCTCATCGGGCAAACCGTCGAGACTTTGTCTCTGGTGCGCGTTCCTTCACTAACCCCTGGCCGTGATGTACACGTAAACGATGCTGACTGGCTATTCAGAGCGTACTGCGCGCGCATTTCGAAGATTGCACGCCGGGCACGCCCATAATGCGCTCGCGCCGCTTTGCACGTCACGTCATGTACGAATATTCAAAACTGCGCGATGCCTGTACGATATGGATTATGGCAGCCTGGTTTTTCGCTAAAAAAATCCCTGTATTTGCGGTTGTAAAGGGACGAAAGGGGTACGTACATTTAATATAAATCTGTGCTAGATAACGCAACGTCCAAAGCTTATGTTTGAAAGCATTGTTTCTTCAAAAACACAACTTTCAACATTTTAAAGATGGCGTCTGCACGTAAAACGGATAAACTGCAGCCTAATTATAATGTGCCATATTTGGACACATTTAAATTACACAATTCCAGGGGTTGAGATTGCGCAAGGCATGATGGGAAACAACATGGCGCAGCAAGATCTCGTACCCATGGGAACGAGGTTGTGGCTTACCGTCTTCCTGAGTTGTTAATAGCTATTTTTTACCCCCAAAATGGCCGACCCACATTCATTGAACATAATGACCCTGTCAGGGCTCAATTTTTTCTTTTTCTGCATCTCCACTAGGTGTATATATTCCAAAAAAATAGTTCTGCTTCTCATTACATTGCTTTTTTGTGTGTTGATCACATGTAGGTGTCATGTAGTCAAGTGTAAAAGGTGGAAATCGATGGGTTCCCCCCCCCCACCTCATTTTCCCCAAAAAAATTAGGGTAGGGGCTGTCAAAAAAGGGTATGTTTGGCCTTACCAGAAATATTTTACTTCATGTCGCAATTCCGGTGGCATGGGTGGTTTGTGCGTAAAGCGCTCGCCTCTCACCAAGGTGACCATGGTTCGAATCCTGGCCGCGGATTGCATGTGAGTAGAGTTGTGCGTTGGTTCTCTCCTGTGCCACGTGGGTTTTTCTCCGGGCCCTCCGGTATTCCTCCCTCCGGAAAAATCAAACACTTTCGATCTCAGGCTGTGCTCCGTGGTCATATATGGGTCGATGTGGCCGGCAGCCATAGGCGCCTTTACGTGCCAGCGGCCCGACCACGTTGTAGCCGCGTCCTTCGCAATTCAGCACACCAGCTGCGAGTAAGGATGATTAGCCTCCCAAATTATTATTATTATTATTATTATAATTAATTTTTCGAGGATTTAAAAGCTGTATTCCAAACAGTGACATTTGTAGGATTGGCATGCAGGATTGAGCACGTTCACAGTTGTGGGTTCGAGTCCAGCCTGGGGTCATGGTGCGTGTGCCCTTGGGCAAGGCACTTTGTCACTCATTGCTTCTCTCCACCCAGGAGTAGATGGGTACCTATGAGGGCAGAGATGGTTATTGTGATTGAATTAGCTTCCTTGCGCCTAACAGGCAGCATCGAGCTGTATACTCCCCAGGGAGCTAAGATGGTATTTGGAATGTTTCATGGGCCCAATGAGCAGGGGTAATAATGATGTAGCGCCTTGAGCACCAGTCCTGGTGGATACGTGCGCTTTATAACTACCCACTGTTATTATTATTATTATTAAAGGGAATGTACAACATTTGCTTTTGCTGCAAGTTTCAGAAATAAATGGATTTGGAGGATTAGTATGTTACAGCAAATATTGTTAAACTGACTTGTTTCACTTTTTGGGCTTGTAGATGCTGGAAAAACCAAGAAACCTATCATGTTCTTGTAGTCTGGTTTCCTGACACCACTTAAGATGAAACAGGGCAATTTATAGACTTTGGGGAATTGTAAGGTCAGAGAATCAGTCTAGCAGGCTTGTACCCTTCACAAGTGTGTAATCAATTGCAAAGAAAATGCGGAATAACTAACTAGGATGCTATAGACTGTCATTCTCTAACAATCCAGAAAAGTATTACGTGATAATTTGATCATTTCGTTTTTTGATGTTTGCAAATGTTGTATCTTCCCTTTAAGTCCTTTACCATTTATTTGATACATTGATGACCGCAAGCATGTCTCGTAATAGTTCTGTGTCTTCTACATTTTTTGGGATGTGTGTTTTCTCTTCAATGCAGGAAAAGGGACCCCTGCGAGAAAGAGACTGCGTCCGAATTTTGCAGCCACTGGAGGACACATTCCACGAACACACAGACAGGATGTGCCAACTCGGTAGTTTTGCCTCAGCGAGTTGCACAGATATGCAGAGTGAGTGTTTCAATTGCAAATTCATATCTGCCATGCTTGTCTTCACTTTATAGTTTATAACATGGAAGGACTTTGTTTCATGTGACAGTTTTGGAAACAAGTTTACGATAGTTGTGTTTTGTAAGAAATTTTAGTTTGAGTTACAAAAGCTCTTGAAGTGTCGTGCAATATGATTTTGAGTTGATGGTACAAAGTTCCAAGATCTTAGACCCTTCTAGGTATTGAATGGAATGCATGGAATGCCCTGGCTGTGGTAATACTACATTAAACTCGTACAAATTGTAATGCTTATATAGCACTTTCCATCGTATCAACAATGTCAGCGTGCTTGACAGTTATTCCCCATTCATCAGGCCACGGGACCACTTGGCAGCCAATATTGGCACATTCGGTCCTCTACCCTCACAGGTACATGTTTATACTCCTGGGTGGAGAGAGGCAATTGTGGTTTGAAGTGTCTTGCCCAAGGGCACAAACACCATGTTCCTGGCAGGGTTCGAACCTACGCACCATCGTACATGAGTCAAACACCGTAACCACTTGACTGTGGCATTCTTGTGGGTAATTCTGCAGATTGTGGTTCGAGTCCATTGTGCAGGAATCGAGTACCTGTGATTAGGGTGAAGGCAGTTGTATTTGTTTAGCCGGTTGCACCAATGTGGCAGCATCAAGCTGTACATTCCCCTGGAAGATGATGTCTGTTGAATGTTTTCATTGGCCCAATGAGCAGGGGTATTAAAACCCTAACCCCTTAAAGTTTCCTCAGGACTACCCTGCTAAATCCAACAACGGTTATTTCCTGCTCAATCCAACAGAATCCAACTGTGCCTAATTTTTAGTTGCCTGCGGGATCCAACAGAGCCCAACTTGGCGTTATTGATCAGTACCCAACAGATCCTACTCTGAACATGTGTGTGTATGTTTGTACAAGGGGTTTACTGCTCAATCCAACAGGCTCCAACAGGTTAATCATATAGTTGGATCCTGTTGGACTCAGCAGGGTTTTTAGTGTAATGTGCCATGAGCAGCTGTTTGATGGATCTGGACTATACGTGTAATGTTTCTCCCCCTGTGATAGGAGCTACCAACTTGCTCCATTTGGTGAGTTCTCTGGAACAGCTGGATCCCGAAGTCTTCCCAGCATGCCTTGCCGTGCGTCAGGACATTCTGGACAGAGGGGCCGTCCGGCACTTGAAGCTGATTCGCCGAGAGTGGCAGAGCGAGGTGCAGCGATTGGTCGAGGCCTTAGATGACCTCATCGACGCAAACAGATTCATGGAGGTATCAGGTCAGGAAAACTTTGCATTACTTCTGATAAAATCAACACACCCATGGCAGTGTTTCATCTGCGAGCATTCCTTTTTATTCTTTGGTTCTCATTTCCAACCGACCCTATTTTGGGCTCCTGACCCAAGAAAGAATTTTTTTTATTTATTTCCACCGACTCAGTCCGAAACTTCACATACAAAAACAGCACTTAAAAACAAAATGAATATCAAGTTCAGACAAAGAGACTTTCTGTAACTGTCCCCTAACTTAGTTTCAACTGTTCAGAGAGATAGTTGGGACTGACTAAAATGGACTACAATGAAGTACCGCCACGTCCAGACAATACAGTTTTGTTAACATTCAGAATAAACTTAATAACATCATGTGCGGACCAGTGTTCACACCTAAGAAAGCATGTCACATAACACCTGTTCTTCAGTCTCTTCACTGGCTGCCCATTAAAAAAATGCACCACCTTCAAAGTTCTGTTGTTGGTCTACCACACAGTCCATGGCTCCTCACCAGTCTACTTACAAAACCATACCACCCCCACCCAGGCTTAGATCATCAGAGTCCTCCTTTCTTCAAGTTCCTAGATCCCGACACTCTTGGGGTGACCACAGCTCCTCTCACGCAGGCCCCACTCTCTGGAACAGTCTACCCTTCTCTATCCGTCAAGCTCCTTCTTCAATCTCCTTCAAACAAGAACTCAAAACCTACCTGTGCACACTCTAATCTCCTCTTCGGCTTGTACCTAATGCTATTTGGGTTTTTTGTGTGCATGTGTTAGGACTTAGCATTTATGAATTTTGTAGTTTGTATAATTAATTACTCATTGTAAAGCGCCATGAGCGTCACTGAGTAATGGACCTGTTGCGCTTGACAAGATGCCACTGTTATTTGTATTAATGATGTCCCTCCCATCGACATTTGTTTCCTGAGCATGATGGGATGTATTTTGAATGAAATGCCCCCCGGAGATTAGGCCAAAAAAAAAAAATATTCGGTCTCTGTTCAGACCAAAGTTCCGGAATTGACGCGGCCACGCGGCTTTTTTTTTTTTTTTTGGCTTTTTTTTTTTTTTTTCAAGCTTGGATTGTACAGACAAGGTGGTTTTTTTTTGTTTTTTGGTGTCCTCATGTACATTGGTGTACTCCATAATTTGCCTTGGTGCTTTCGATCATTTGCCTTGGTGCAATTTCCCATTCCTTGGTGCTCTTTGGTAAAAAAAATTGAGGAGGTGCGGAAATAGAGGGCGCTGTTGGAGCTACCTCGGAACATTTTGGAAAAAAAAAAGATCGACGCGCATGATTAAAATCGATGCGCGCGCTGACCAGAGACCGACTTATTTTTTTCTTTGGCCTTACCACCTGACCACAAAGATGGTGGTATCAGTCAAATGGTCTATGCTTAGAGTCCCTACCAAACATACTCTACGTTTCGTCCTACAGAGTCTTACATGGAGGATGACCTTGAAGACTGTCGGCAAGCTGAGGTCATCGCTGACCGCGACCTCTTGTCCGAAGCGGCCAATAACCTCCTGGGTCGGGCCAAGAGGGTCATCCAGGTAGCGTGCAATCAGGTGGACGGGAGCGAGGACCCGATATTCCGCAACGGGCTGAGGGTTCATATCGACCAATTGGAGAAAGGTATAGATTGTGACTCAACCCATCAAAATCAATCATGACTCGCAAGTGTTCGTTACCTTATCTCAGTGCAGCTTTCAGATATTGAAAAACTGCCAAAACTAAATCCACATTATAATTTTCCAGACAGCAATTTATGTCCAACTCCCTAGAAAAACAAAATTCTGAGTGAGACAAGAAACCATTTAATACAATGTATCAACACTTCTTTCTGAATTTGGAAAAAAGCAAAAACATTATTGGCAGTGAAATTGCGTTGCATTCCACAAACCCCCTTTATGTGGTCCACATTTTGCTGCTCATATAGTTTTAGAGGAAAAAACTTGATAAATACACTTTGCTTAATTGATGTACAGAGAGTTTGCAGGATTCTTTTTTGGAAAAAAAAAGACAATTTAACAAACAAAATTAAAAGTCAGTTGTTGAAGACAAGGCGTATATTGATATTGTTAACCTTATAGGTGGAAGGAGCCCAGATGTGTGAATACATGTACTATCGAGTGCAAGACTGCATGGTTCCGCCTTAAAAATGGTTTCTAATTTAGGTCACTGTATTAGTCTGTAGAGAAGATCTTGTTAAGATCCAAACGTCAGGCAGCTTACATTCTTTTGATGAAAATATAACCTTTTAAACCTGCAAACTTTATCGACTAAATGTAAACGAAAGGATTTGTATACTTGTACAAAGTTAGTAAAAATATATTAGCCCTGACCCAATACATTTCAGTCCAACACTCATATTTCTAGGTTTTGTGTCAATATTTCAATAAATTACAATGTGTTATGACATTTTTTCCAGCAATGACACTCGTGAAGAATGGTGCGCAAAAGGCCCTCTCCCACTTCCAACTCAAGAGGGCGCATCAACAGCTGACAGAACGAGGGCAGCACCTGCTGGAGTGCGTACACATAGTGGCTCAGGCAATCCTGGGCAGGGATCATCCCGACATCTTGAATCCGCTGAGGGAGGGCGTGAACAACAGGCGGAAGCAAAAAGCTGAAGGTCAGTATAAACAGATAATGCAGTTCAAATAGGCCCTGTTAATATGCCATTTTTTTTATCAATTATCCGTTCCCTTTTCGGTTAGGTGTCATGTTGTAACATATCCAGGAAACTGAACAATATCTAGCACAATGCTTTTGCCACTGAATCAGACATGCCACTTTTCCGGTTTTAACCAGAATTCTGGTTTTTAAAAAAAATCTCACAAAATTGCGTTTTTTTGTGGCCGTCAAAATAAACCGGAAAAAGAGAAGAAAAACTGTGGAAATGCGTTGATTTTTACCTTGTTAGTGCTCTCGATTTAGTACATTTAGGCGCATGCACGGCACAACGTTGTTCGTTGAAGTAGTCTTAAAAATAGTCTTTGTTGTTGCTGAGCCTGCATGCGATACAGGCGTGCCAACGTACTTCACGTAGTAAACGGCACCTCGCGGGTGCTTCACTGCGTGCGGGCGTGTTGTGCGCTAAGCACACAGAGCATTCAGCCTGGAAATCAAGTCTGTCATTTCAATTATCAGTGGTTTCCGATCGCAGTGATATATGTGAATACAAAAAAACGCCAGGTACCAACCATGTTTTCGCCGAGCGCATTGAGTAGTGCAACGGTTATGTACACTGCGCCGACAGCATGCAGTGCAGTGTTGTGGAATCATGCATGTTTCATATCGAATATTACGTTGGAAATTCGGGTAGGCAGAGTAAATATTAGGATTATGGAGAAAGTCAGAGTGATTGAACAAACCGACAGCTTAAAGGCCATAGAAGCAAAATTAAAAAATAATTGGAACTGGGCTTGGCTACAAGTACAAGATAAAGATGACAATGGGGACTCAATTTTGTGTCGGACTCGGGGCGGAGTGGCTTTTTCACACACACAAAAGTTCCGGTTTTTCCAAGCAGCTGTTCCGTTTTTTTTTTTCAAGCAGACCAGGTTCCGGTTTTTTCAAGCAGACCCTGTGGCATCTCTGTGAATGGGCCTTCATGATTGAATTGACAGCTTGCCCAGATTGGTGTATATGAAAGATGTTCATTTCATTTCAGAGCTTCAAGACCATGGCGGCGACGACGCTGCGATTGCTCCTAGACTCCGCTTCTCCAATGTAAATTACTTGAGTAAACCGCTGCCGGCATCCGCAGGAGTGCTAGCCTCCGATCCAGCCGCCGATCTCACTGATGGTCTGTCGAAGCTCAAGTTGTCGCAACTCTCGCCAGATACTCGGAAAAAAGGTAATGAAGAAAAAGTTTAACGTAACTTAACTTGTAAGCAGATTTGATTTTATTCTTGGAGGAGAAGCGATCATAAAAGAAGGGAAGAATACTTAGCTTGGTACTTGGTACTTGGTTGGTTCTTCTCCTAAGGACTTCCACAAGGGAGTATAACTAGGAGGCCAGAAACACCGGGGCAAACCCCTTTTCTTAGCGATAAGTGGGTTCTTTTACGTGTGTTAGGCCTTATACAACACACGGGACCTCAGGCTTAACGTCCCATCCGAAGGACGAAGCAATAATATAATGGTTAAGTGCCTTGCTTAAGGGCACAAGTGTCCAGGCTCGGGCTCGATCCCACGCCACTGTTGCCTCTGAAACACCAGAGCATGAGTCCGGTGCTCTTAACCGCTAGGCCATGACACTCCAATGCAATGAATGTTACATTTGATTGATTCCATGCTGCTGGTGAATTATATTAAAATCTTGATATTGCTTTAGAGAACTATAATTTTTAGATCCCTATCGCGCTAACTCTTTGTTTCCTTTTCGGAAGCATCCGTGGAGCAGGCATATTCATTTTCTATTCATTGTGGAGTGCTGTGGCCTCGTGGTTAAGGGAACTGGATTTCTGGCCTGTGGGTAAAGCTGCGGGTTGTGGGTTCGAGTCCAGCCGGGGTCATGGTGCGTGTGCCCTTGAGCAAGGCACTTTGTCACTCATTGCTTCTCTTTACCCAGGAGTTAATGGGTACCTGTGAGGGCAGAGATGGTTATTGTGATTGAATAAGCTTGCTTGCGACCCAGGGAGCTGAGATGGTATTTGGAATGTTTAATTGGCCCAATGATCAGGGGTAATAATAATACTGTAAGCGCTGTGATTTAGTTTACTAATAAGAGCGTTCTTAAATGCCGATTATTATTATTATTATTATTATTCATGTGCGTGTTCCACGTGGTTAGCTGAATTTGAAATGAGAGTACAAAGCAGGCAGCTGTATTGGCGCGGTTTCGTGTATGAACAGAAACTCATCAGAAGCGCATACATACATGTAAGCGTAATGGCTTCATTCGTAATTGGGCATAATGGCTTCATTTTATTCATTTATGCGGGTATGCAAATATGTATACCATGCAGTCCACGTCCTCAAACATGTGAAGATTTCTTCATTTTTTTTTTAAGACAAATGCCCAAGTTCAAGTTTCCTACGCAATGTAACTACATTCCAAACATTAAATTATGCAAAAGACCACTCCAAAGCCGAGAAAGATAATAATTACAGGAGTATCAGCCATATGCTTATTCACATGCCCATTCAGTAGTCCTGGCAAATCTCAGTTGTGTATATGTTTGGCTAAGGATGACAAGCAATTGTTTGGCAAAGGGATTACAAAGATGAAAGCTGGCAAAGGGGGTTGAAATGTCAATAGCGAAAAGGCACTTGTATTCGTTATCGAAGCCGATACGCCCGAAACCGAAACGCACAATCAGTTAATGAGCATTTCATTTTGCTCTGCGCAAACAACGCAAACGCATGCATGTATCCGCTGCAGATTTTTTTTGCTGTGACGTTTTTTATCTGTCATGATGCGCTTAGGTTGTTTTTGTATGTTGTTCTTGCGTGTTGCATTTAGAGTACACTTTCAAAATTCACTCCATCTTATTTTGTTATGTTCTACAAACACGCACATGAATTCAAAATGTCTGCGCGCGGGACGGCTCCAAAGTATCTCTGCGCATAAGAACAAGGAGTAAGCGCTCTAGTAATTTAATATAGCTCCATGATAAAAGCTTGAAGTTTCCATAGATTTTAGCAAAAATGGACCCAGCAGGCGAGGTACATGAAACACTGTGATGATTTAATATACATGTAGATCTCAGGATATTTCCAACTTTTAACTGTATCCAACAGCAGTGACCCCAATGAGGCTGTCCTACCCCATGGCTGGACTAATGAGGGCGCTGTTCTCTCACGATCCAGACCCACACAGGGTGGACAGGCTGTGTGTGGAGGCAGAGAACAAGAGTTCTTTCCTGGCTAGTCTTGCTACCAGGGCATCCGATTGCACACAAGATCAGCAGCTGAAAGGGTAAGTCTGATATTGTGATATGAAAAATGCATGTGGAGGAGACAACTGCTGAAGCTGAGACTAGTCTTGGTCGTGGTAATTACATACAGGTCTCACAGTTTATAAGGTTATGCATTACAGCTCTTAATAACATAACATCCCTTGATATAAATATTCAAAAATAATAAAGAGGTTTCTCAGGCCAAACGTTTAGCACGCTGGATAGGTCATCAGTTTGTGCAGCTTTGTCATGTGTGATACACAACTCGCTATCTGCTACGCGTGTATGTCGTGCGCTACTGTCGGTGTGAAACGTATAGTAGATTTTGGATTTCAACCGTCTTTTCTAGATTTAATCATATATGATTGACAAGATGAATGCTGAACAGATATGTGCCATTTGTCTGTATTTCAAAGCAGCATTCGCTCTTTTCATGCTCTGCCATCAGCATGCAGAGCCTCCATCTGGCAACCTTACACAATAAAAATAGCCGGTTTAATGATTTCCTTGTATACACGGGAATCACTGAACCCCGACACTGGAATCACTGAGCCGGCTATATTTATTGTTTAAAGTTGCCCGGTTTTGCATGCTGATGGCGGAAGCGTGCAAAGAGTGAATTAGCTGGAGATACAAATTTTTCACTGGAGGATACCGTTTTGGATTACTGCCTGTATTCGCAACGGTTCCGATAACTAACCGTATGTGTTCACGTCCACGATGCGTACACATACTGAAAGCTAAATGTACCTGGTATGCATATATTTCAGTTTAAATGCGAAACCTCCCTAATGGCTCAAACACAAAGCACGTTTATCTGAAATCTGTAGCCTTAAAGCTACAGTCCATCATTTGTAATTTGTGCATTTTGTTCGTTTGAAGCAACAAAAGAGTTCAAAATCTAATGAAGGATACTGAGCAACTAACCTGATGAAGTTTCAGCTAAGCTTCAGCTGTACATTCCGAGAAAAACAGCATTCTAAGATCTCAATTTCAAATCAAAAGTTACTGAATCATGTTTTGAATTGTTTTGAATTGCAGCTATACGCGTCGTCGCGCACTGATCCGACGAATTATAACAACCGCGCGCGCGTGTGCGTCGTTCCAATACTTGTGCGCGCTGCGCTGAATAACAAAATGAACTACTAATTTAAATTTTCCTACGGTGCTTCTTAAGAATCACCGTTGGAAATGCCTTCTTTCGTTGATTACTTCAAAATGACAGCTTCCCAGAAAGAATAATTTCACAGGGAGTTTAGTTCCCTTACTATCTTGCAACCAAGTTTGTTTTTCAACAATAATTACGCCAGTTACTTTTCGGAGGGCTGCAAATGATGGACTGTAGCTTTAAACATGTTAAAGCAGAACATTTATTGTTGATCCATAATCAGTCTGGTTTTCCTGATATTTTACAGAAAACTGGAGTCTCAGGCACTTCAACTCATCTCCAAAACCGCCCAGTTGGCCCGGCAGGCAAAAGCCTCCATGGCAGGCACAGAGGCAGCAAGGACAGACGCGAATCTCTCGTCCGAAACCTGGACGTCGTTGGTGGCTGCCCTTCGTACCAGCCTGATGGACGTGATTGGCTGTTGGGGGTTGCCAGGCAACAAACTGATGGAAGAGTCGCTACGTGGCGGGACAGACGGCCTACCTAAAGAGGTCGGCCATTTTGAATATTTAGTTCATCAGTGTAAATTTGCATTTTATCTTCTTTGTATACTGTCATTTAATGCCTTAAAAAATTGGCAAGAAATTCATTGTTGTATATAACATCCCCCTCAACCCCCCCCCCCAAAAAAATTCCTTCTCCAAATCTTACAGTTCTATGAAAGATATTTATTGAAGCCCCCTAAAAAGTTTTGGTCTTTGCATTGGACCGTGCTCAAAAACGGATTTCATTGTCAATCATTACCTCCGTTTTGCATGTTATTTCCTCCATGTAGACTCTGTAGAGCATACCCAAGAAACAGGAATCCTGCCATTGTCATTTTGAATGCATTGTCTTGTTAAAAATATTTGGCATGTGGTTTATCACGATATTAGAAAACCTATCAGGCTGTCCAAGGAATTGAATGAGAAATGCTCATTCTGTGAACGTGGTGCAATTTGAAGTTGAGTTACACAAGGAAATTAAACATTAACATTTCCATTTTAAAATTTTGAAAAAAATAACGAAATGAGGTCCTTTTCACACTTTTACTATCATTTGCCTGTTTTTATTGAATAAGAAACAGGAACAATGATACCTGGTGTTGTATTTGTTTTGCAGATCGATAGCGTGAATCTCCACCTCCAAAGCGTGCACCGCTTGATCCGAACTTTCACAGAGGCGTTGCAAGCTGTCATTACTCTCAATGATTCCAAAATGGCCGACTCATCAACTCAAGTCCAGCTGCTTCAGAAGCAGGCATCTGATTGGACGAAGCTGACCCACAGCCTGATCAGCGCGGCCAATGAGACTGTCATAAACCCAGGTAAACCTAGACTGGAGACCTGACCTCATATCATACATGTATTACGAGGACAGGTAATGCAACTCATAGCTTAATGGACATTGTTTTAATTTACATTAGCCCGTAAATCTCCAAAATGTTCATGTAATGCTCTGATGTCCAGAGACTGCTCATTTCACCATGCACAAATTTCCGACAATATTTCATTTGCACCACGAAGGCTAAACTGACACACAAAAACTTGCCTTAATTAATATAAAAATGTATTTAAGGTTGATGATTCTTAAGAAAAATGGAGAAGTTCAGTCATGCACACCAACATTCTCAACGTTACTCACAACGGCCGCTGGCCAACTCCAGCCGTATTGCTCATATCAGCCTGCGCTGCATTGACTGCTTGCAGTCCACCGCATACACTGTGTGTCGACCCCAGGCAACGAAGCATGTGTTACGGCAGAAATTTCACGGGAACAGACAACACTGTATCACTTAAGTATGAGCGGAAAAAAAACCAGCGAGATAATTACATTAAAATGGAATATTACATACACAGAGAAGAGAGATTACGTTTTGTAAATTTAACTCGCCAAAATATTTGTTCTTACCACAGTTAAACTATTCATAAGATGAATTTGCGTCGGGGTGATGTAAATCAATATTCTTACTTACTTTCTTAATGCCTTGATGATGCCTAGTGGCACATAGGCCATCAACAAAGCTCCTCCTGTTCTTTGCTAGCTTTTCCAGTTACTTCCAGCTGCTACATGTACATCAGATTCGAACCAACTAACCAATCCCGCAAGCTCGGTGTTCGAGTGGTATTGTGTGCACTAGAAAGCAGGAGGTCGTGGGTTCGAGTCCCACCCGAGTGATTTTTTCCAACTTTCACTCGGGAGGTAACACACTGAGTATACAGTGTTTATGCGTCGGTGAAGGGCAAAACCTAATATTGATTTAGATCACCTCGACGCAAATTCATCTTATGAATAATACGACAACTGGTTACCAAAGACCTGATAGAAGGCGCCCATTGAATGGTCAGAATATGGAGGTCAAGACGCAGTGTTCCTTGTTCTATGTTTTGAATAATCTGCATGCATATCATAGAATTCCAACACACACATTGATTTGCAAATAATCACCAGTTTTGTTCACAGAGAAGAACTCCAACTTGAATGCTGAATGACCTTCATCTCCTGGCCCCCCCCCATAAAAAACCCATTAAATGCCATGCCCTAGTTTCTTTTTAGCAATGTTTTTGTAGCAAAATTTGTTTTCTCACCATGTACTGCCGTCAGATCAGGATTTGCACAAAAATCTTTTTTTACTTTCAGACGAACCCCTGCTTCAAGATTTGGTGGAACGTCGGTGGTCGGATTGGTCAATCAAACAACTAGAACTCATATCCACCATGGACGGATGTGGGCTGGAAGCAAGCAAGATGGCTGCTTCCCTGGCAACGGTTACCATGGAGGCCGGTCAGAATGAGGTCACTGAGCATGTGCAGAGGCTGAAAGACTACACAATGAAGATGGGTCACATGGCCGACAGCTTATTAAGGTAAAAAGAAACACTTGGGAACACTTACTTGTGAGCTGTCACATCTGGAGGGTCAAGTAACTTCAAAGATGCCGCTTTTCTGGTTTTAGATGGAATTCCTTTTTTTTTTAATCTTACAAAATTCTGTTTTTTCTGGCCATCAAAATAAACTGGAAAAAGAGAAGAAAAAGTGTGGAAATGTGTTGATTTTTACCTCGTTAGCAGTCTCGAGTTTAGTACGTAGGCCTACATGTTGTAAGGATTGCACATATGCACGGCACAATGTACATGTCGTTGGAGTAGTCTTAAAAAACAAGTCTTTGTTGTTGCCGAGCCTGCATGCGATACAGGCGGCCAACGTACTAGCACGCAGTATACAACGGCGCTCAGCGCGTGCTCCACCGCGTGCGAGCATGTTGTGTGCTAAGCACACGTAACATTCAGCCTGGAAATCAAGTTTATCATTTCAGTTATTGGTGGTTTACGATCGCAGTGATATATGAACACAAAAAGCGCCGGGTACTAACCATGTTTGCGTCGCGCGCATCGCGTAGTGCAAAGGTCATGTACACCGACATGTTTCGTGTCGAATATTCTGTTGGAAATTCGGGTAGGCAGAATAAGGAATATGGAAAAAGTCAAAGTGATTCAACGAACCGACAGCTTAAAGGCCAAAGAAGCAAAAAAAAAAAAAAAAAATGGAACTGGGCTTGGCTACAAGAGACTTTGGTGGACTTTCTGTTGGAGTGGCTTCTTCACAAAAAATAAAGTTCTGTGTTTTTCAAGTAGCTATTCCGTTTTTTTTCAAGCAGACCCAGTTCCGTTTTTTTTTCAAGCAGACCCCGTGGCATCTCTGTTACTTAGAATTGCAATTACAGTGAAAAAAAAGTGATTCATCTGTGTTTGTTCCGACTAGTACATTGGATGGTTGGAAATTTCTAATGCCATACCATAATTTTAATCTCTGGTTAAGTTTCTACAAGTGTGCTCTTTTTGTGTTCATGCCTTCACAGCAGCTGTGCAGACTCCACCGAACCTGAGGGTCTCATGGAGGCCAGTCAATCCCTAGACAAACTCAGCAAGTTGCTGTCAGAAGCCGCTGTCAGTTGCTTCAGAGTCAGGGCTGAGGGGAACTCACTGGAGCAGAGAAACAGGGGAGTGCAGAGGGTGTCCCTACTGCAGAGGGAGTGGGCTGCCAAGGTAAGGCCCTGTTGACACGGAAGCAAGGTCCCGGTAGTCTGAGTATCATCTGTTGTTCAACGGAGCCTGCAAGCTCCGCAACAACGTTTGACATAGTCAGCATGTAAATTTTATGGGATCCTGCGTGCCAGCCAATCAGAGTTGACTTTCTAAATTGTGACATCATTTCTAGCGGAACTTTGGCGTAAGGTGTTGATTGGTCAATTGGCTGCCATGCCTTTGTAATGCAACAACAGGTTACCGAAAACCAAACAGAAAGCGCCCGCTGAATGCAGTCTTATTTTGCGTAACTTATCGTTGAATCTGCACCATATCATAGACGCTTGCCAACAGACCAGTAGAGTAGTAAACAAAAAAAAAGGGCATATCCCACAGTAGGAAACATTAACACATATGCAGACCACTGCACGTGTATAATTATTATTATATTTATTTCCGGTAATGAAACCAAGGATTCCTCAAAAGTGCGCTAGGCACTGTAGATTGCAAGCCTGAAGCAACCTTTAGAGAAGAAACAATGAGAAGAAAGTTTAGAAACCGCCAAGTTAATATTTACTCCGTGATGAAAACTGTCTCATAAAAGGAGATTTTTATCACTACGCGCGCACGACACGTACCATAGATATGGCAAGAGGGATGTTTCACAAAACATGAGGAAAAATTGTTGAACTAAATCGTTGGCAATTTTTGAATTTTTGACTTGCTTTGACTTTTTGACTGACAGTTTTTTATGAATGGGATTAAATATGCATGCTTGGTCGGTATTAAACAAGTACGTTTAAAACCGGCTAGGAGCTGGTCGCAGATAATGAACCGAGTTGAACATAATACCAGCATCCAAGCCTGGATGCTGGTCAAGCACATAATAGTATAAACTGAATGTGGTAATTCATTTTGGTGGGTTGTTTTTGTATACAGGCCCAGGTGCTTGCAACTCACATCGACTGCCTAGCAGGGGACATGACCACACCCTTGGACAGACTGAATGGGGCAGCGCTGGCAGTCAGCCAAGCTTCAGGTTTGTCAGATTGTTAGCTCATTTGTTTGTCTGTTTGTAAGTTGCAGTGACATGAAGTGTACTGTAGGAATGATAAACTGGCCAAAGACAAAGAAAGGATTGTTTTTCTATGAGTTAACATAATAAGATGAAGGTTTACGGTAGCACTATGTGACAAATCTCTTCCGTGAGTTTGTGAGGTTCTGAAAAGAACCGGGGGAAACTCAACCTTTCGGACAGTATTTAGTCACTTTTAATTTCAAAACGGATACTAGTACTATGGTGTTCAGTTAATTGGTATTACTGTATTTCGTCGGGTGCCTGGAAAAGGGCGCAAGGGTGAAAAATGGGTCAAAAGGTCGAATTCAGGTTTTTCGGGTAATGGATAAAGCTAAGAAATATCTTTCATTCGATATACATATTGTCTCAAGGGGCTACGTCATTCTGACGTAATTAACAGTAAACAAAGGACAGAAGGAGGTTTTTCATTATTTGTGCCCAGCAAAAGGTCATAAGCATGTAATTATTATGTAACAAACAACTTTCCAAGGGCCCTAATGCCCCACTTAAATGGGTACGCAAAGCCAAGTTTGTTCCTGTCAAAAGGACCTTCGGATTTAACATGCCGCTTAAGCACACGACATCACATCCGAAGGCTTAAATCACATCCAGAGCTTAAATCGCATGGCACAGGCTAACCCAAGTTTATACCCTTTCTGTCACCACCTCAGGTCCATCAAGGCATGAACTGCTGGAGGAGTTTCAGACTCAGTCAGATACCTTCAGCTCGGCGGTGTCAGGGGTCAGGCAAGCCTGCGCTCAGGCCCTGAGGCCCACCCAAGCCGGGCCCATGAAGTCCAGCGTGTTTGCAGCCATGGATGCTCTGTGCAGGCTCACCCCACTGGCTGTTACGCAAGCCAGAAACATAGCAGGTGATTCCTTTGTACCTGTCCAGCTGTCATTTGAAGCATTGCGTGTTGGAAAGATAAACAAAAATGCACATTAAGCTGGTGTTGCATGACGCATGGTAACATTGTCATGATGGTCCTTTGTCTGTGCCAAGTTTCAAGTCAATAGGATTTAAAAACAAAAATGGTACTGCATGTTTTTTTTTTAGCCCTTTTCACACTAGAGCTTCTCAACCCAGGTTGAACTCAACCCTGGGTGAACCCAGTGCCGCCCCAGGTTGATTTTTTTGTTTTTCAACTCTGCGTTCAACCCCGCATCCTTTCACACTTGTTTCATTCAATCAAGCTTATCATGCTCAGTTACTACTGTTTTGAACCCTGGCAAGAATTCCTAACCCGGGTTTGAAATCTTAAGCCTGGTCTAAGTTGAGTTCAACCCCGGGCAAAATCAATCTCGGGGTTAACGCAGGGTTGACGCAGGGTTGAAATTCTTTAAGTTTGAAACGATACACGTTTTCAACCCTGCGTCAACCCCGCGTCAATCCCGAGATTTGTCTTGTGTGAAGAGGGCTTTTGGGAACTTCCTCGAAATTCTGACGCTGTTCAGGAACCCATGGATACATTCTTTGCATCTGATCTACGTAAAATACATGGCTTGCCTATCCAATCCTTTTAAATCCTTTCAAACCTTCTGGTGACCTTTTAAATGATTGGGGAGCTAGGGTTTGGCCTAACATTCTTTCAAATCGAACTTGAAAGTGTTTGATGTTGATCTTTCTGGTAATTGCAGATGGCCATCCGGTGTCTAGAGAGGAAACTACCAGCATCAAGAGAGAGTGGGCTTGCAATGCCAAGGTTGTCATCAACGGCTTGACATACAATCCTGAAGTCATGTCATCTACTGTAAAAGGTAAATGAATGTAAATAGCCAAACTGACAAAATCAGTTGAAATGGTGCTAGAGCTATTTTTGAGCTACAGGACCTTTTCACACTGGTCATCCATAGGAACCTTCAACGTTTTCTCCCAAAATTTGTCAATCTTACTGAAAGTGTGAACCTCAAAGGCATATGAAAATGGAGGACCAAGTATGCCAATGAAAACCTAGCCCAAAAAACACCTTAAAATACTTGTGTTAGATTTTTGGCAAAATGTTATAAGAAAAAAAACACTTAAATCTGGCACGGTGGTATTGGAATCTCTATTTCTCTAAAAATTTAAAACTGTGTTCCAAATAGAGTTATTGGCAAGGTTGTGTCCTTTTTTTCGATTACTTAAGCATTTGCAGCATATCTTTTAGCCAAAATAGTAAGATTTGGGTGTGATCCCTGGCCACATGGCTTATGTAGCCTCATGGTGTCTAGATATAGCCCTCCAAATGAAGACATTGGCAATTTGAGAATCAACAAATGTTGGGCTAGATAGCTCAGTTGGTAGAGCACTGGTACAGTGTTGTAGGAGTGTCAGGTTCAAATCTCACCCTGGTCAATTACTTGTTTCACCTCGTTTTGATTTCAGCACACTTTTTGGACTTGAAATTCTTTTTTGACAAAACACTGCAAAGTCTACTCATAAATGCTTTTTGTTTCATGTCATTACCCCACTAGATGTGAGCAGTGCTCTACGGTGCAACACCCATCTCCCCGCATCTATCCTACCCTTCTCAGGACCTGCATATGACGAGTTGTCCAGACCACTTGACTCTTCTGGGCTGTCACCTCACCAGATCAGCCTCTTGAGCACTCTACCCAGGCAAGGTAGGTGCACATTGCCTCTTACCTCCCTGAAGCCTTCAACAAGAATAGGCAAACGTAGTAAAAGCTGGTCTCAGACCAGTCGAACTTGTAGCACACAAAATTCCATTCAGTTGATTCTGAATGGCTATTCACGGGAAGTCCATTCATGCATCTTGTCTTCACAATGGGCCGGATTTAGCCCATTCATTGATATTACAGGGTAATCATATATGTGACCCAATCCACAAAAAAGAGTATTATGTTGCAAAACAGTGACATTGAGTTATATACATGGTTGGAAAGCCCACAACGTATGCTGTCATTTGGTATATGATAGTAGAGCTCCATAGCCCCTCCCATTCTGGAAATATTTGCAAATTAATTACTTCCTTGGAGTTCGAATTACACAACTGAGAAAACGGGCTTTGAAATAGCCGGCTCTGTTGTCGATTTGGGCAAGATGTACTCAAAATTGTAGTTTTTTTTCCCACTTTATGCATCGAAATCAACATTTCTGTAAATGAACCTTGAAACTTCAGGTAATATAGATGTCATTTATGACAAAAAAATACAAAGTACATTTTGACGAAATGTTCACCCTCAACATTGAGCTGGACATTGCACGATAATGCACAGCCCGATTTAATACCCTTTTTTGTTGAGCAGGTCACATATGCCGTGCTCTCTTCACCAGTCTAAGACTTCTAAGTCACAAGTGACAGTCAGTCAGTCGGGGAGTCAGTCGGGGAGTCAGTCAGTCGGGGAGTCGGGGAGTCAGTCGGTCGGTCAGTCAGTCATTGAGATAGGGGCAAAGAGAACACTAGGCTAGCCTTCTAGGGCCAGCAGAAATCAACTCTTAAATTAAAGCTGTTAATTAGTACTTCAAAGTGGTGCCAAGAATTTACCCTTCCATGAATTGTGGCCCTGGACTTTTTTTAGAGAGTCTTCGAGAAACACATCAAAGGCTTTCCCAGACAGGACTCACAGCATGCCCATGTTGTTTTTATTCAGCCATCATTTGTCAGGAAACAAAAATCTGCATGTACCGGTACCTCCTATCCATGATTGCTGTCATTCTCATACACGTGTGTCATGCCATATAATCACGTCAGACACATCAGCAAATCATTCAGTCTCATGTCACAATGCAACGCTATTACGTGAACTGCATCACCTCCTGTTATCTGTGACCTAACCCAATGACTTGTCATGTACTTGACTACAACTTAGGGGCCAATTTCAAGGAGCTGGGGCCAATTTTACGGTGCTGCTAAGCACAAAGATTTGCTTCGCCCAAAAAGTCTGGCTTATAAAAGCAGGTTACCAGCCAAACCTCCATGCGATGTATATTGCTTGTGATTTGTATTCAGCTGTTGTTTGCTTAGCATGAAAATCAGATGGAGTTTTGGCTGGTAACCTGCTTTTATAAGCCAGACTTTTTTTGTGCTAAGCAAATTTTTGTGCTTAGCAGCGCCGTGAAATTGGGCACTGCTCACACTCCAAAAACAAATTTGTGCTTAGCAGATTATTGCTAAGCACAAACATTTTCTAAGCAATACAGGGTGAGTAACAAAGAAACGGGACCAATTTTTGAATGACGTTTTGCCTGTTGCACTTTCAAAATCTAGGATATGAAAGCCCAGTCATTAAGCTTTCTTTGAGTACGAGAATCGTTCAAATCACTCATGTATTTTTCAAGTTACGGAATTTAAACACAGTTTTAAAGTTCTGTTCACGGATCACAGAAAAGGTAAGTGTTCTTTCAGCAAAACGAAAACAATTCACATGCATCCCTATGAGAATTGGTTTCGTTTTGACAAAAGAGCACTTACTTTTTTGTGATCTGTAGACATAACTTTAAAACGGTGTTTGTTGTCAAAATTCTGTAACTTGAAAAGTACATGAGTGATTTGAATGATTCTTGTACTGAAAGAAAGTTTAATGACTGGGCTTTCTTATCCTAGATTTTGAAAGTACTAAGGCAAACTTCATTCAAAAATTGGTCCTGCCATTTGGGTTTCGTTTTTTTTTACTCACCCTGTATTGTCAGCTTAGAAGCTTAGAAGGTCCAGTGCATGAATTTCATCCCGCATTCGCTTTGTCACCATTTGCTTTCATCCAGGCATTGCCTCAACATTCGCACCCCGCAACCACTCCACTCCCTCCGATCACTCCATTGGCCCCCAGCTCCACCAGCTCGCTTCCCCCTCCCAGCCTTCCCCATGGCAGGCTGCCTTACGTGCCTCAATCTCTGGTCGCGTTTCCTCCTCCCCAGGGGGACGAGATGAGAGCGACGCTGGCAAGCCAACATCGTCGAGGAAAAGCTTCACTCCTGGGAAGGAGGTTGATCCCAAAAGGTACTGACCCAAGTCCGTTGCCAAGAAAGACGATTAAAAAAAAAAAAGGGGGGGGGGGAGAAATTTGAAAATGATGTTTTTTCTAAAACAGGACATAAATTTCCAAGAAATACCAAAAAAGACAAAACGTCAAAAAGACATTTTACCCAAGAAATTGAATAATTATTATGATTTTTTTAAAGGAATTTATGAATATGATTTAAGGTAAAGGCAGCAATTATACGGAAAATTGTTTTGAGGTAATGAAGAACTATTATTTTTTGGGTTGTAAAAAAGTATTTTTCAGTTGAATAAAGGAAATTGACAGAACAGGATTTGAGCCTGCAACCTTCCAAATACATTGTCAGTTTGTCAAAATCTTTGGGCTGCAGAAATATTATAATTCTTTGCTCAAAATTTGGATCTGTTTTCTGCAGCAATTTCCATTCTAATAGTGGGGCCAGTTGTGCCAATTTGTTTTTTCTTTAAATTTGTCATTATTTTTTAGCCTGTTGATAATTGAAAAGCAGATTTAGTGAGTTAAAACATAATTTTTGTTCTTCTTGATTGACAGTCCATACAGGAGCAGAGCACTTGGAATGGGAAGGTAAATTTCCATCATGGGTGTTTTGTCTTTATTTAGGCAAAAAATAAAATTACTTCTGCTTCCAATTTATACCTCTCAGAATTAGGGTCGGTAGGTTGGAAGTTTTGCAAACTCTGTTTTGCTGATTGCAAGGAGTATTCACACCATATGCGTATTTTCGACCTGAATTATTTTCATTTGCTCCACAAAAGCAACCAAAAGTGGCCCCCAAAAGTGATAAAAACTTGCCTTAATTAATTGGTTCTGTGAATTGTGTCAATGGTAGACAAGCTTAACAATTAAAGCTAGATTTGAAACTAGATTTACATGTGTACTCACAATCCATTTGTACACTGTAGTTTTGCTGCGTTCAGTGGATAAAATTGATCAGTTCAGGCTTCTTTCTATCAGCACGTGTCCTGTAATTATAATTCCCTCTGTTACAGCTATGTCAGAACTCCAGGTTTACGCTCCGCCACCAGCACTCCGACATTACAGGCACCTAGGACTGCAGGAGGGAGGGACGCTCTAAATCACACCAGCTATAACAGATGCAGCTCCTCCATTGCAGTGAGTTCTGACATTCACTGTCAAAAGATTACTTTCGAACTGTGATGTCAGAAATAGCAAAAAAGAAATTCAGTAAAGGGGAATTTTTTTCTCGTAATACTGTTCATAACTGAATAATGGGGATGGGAAGTCATTTTGATGACTGTTTTCATGGTTCAGAGGAACACAAGACAGCTGATTTACAATAGCCTTACGGAGTTACCGGTATTGACGTATCACGGTAGAATCGCGTCAACGCAGCTTGTGAAATATTGTCCAATTACATGATACACAAATGGACGCGGACCGCGCAAAATCTCATACAAACAAAACTCAATGTACAAAGTTCCATAGGGTTGTCTAAGGGGCGTGGCTAACTCGCAAAAGGCGATAGGTCAATTGTCATTAAGGGTGCATTCGAGTTGCTCAGCCGGATCGACTCGGGTAAAGGCAGACAGGTTAGCCAAAAGTTGGGCTAATCGAACGCTCAAATGCGGGCCATCGTGATACTCATGTAACATCCGTAGCCATGGCCGTATAGCCTCTGATAAAATACCCTTTTTGGACTGCCAGTCACACTTTAAGGTTTACCGCTTCTCTGTCAATTACAAAAGGTAACATAGTCGGTCTGGAATTATAGTCTCTAAAGTCGCAATGAGCTCAATAAATAATTATGTTTACACTTAAATAAGGTTCATTTTATGGTCCACTTGAGCTTATCCACTGTTTGGCCGCCATATTTGTCCGTTTTATGGAATAAACAATGCATGAGTTTGACTTATTTCCACGACTGACACGAGCAGGGTCTATGGTGGCTGACCTGGGTGAGCCCCGAGAATGACGTCAGAGCTAATCGAACGGCTCAGGGCTAAACCTCAGTCGACCCGGGCGAGCTATTTAAATGCACCCAATGTGTTCAGAAGGCTTTACTTCATCTGCACAATTTGATACAGCTCTTTGCAGCAACCCTACTTGCTTTGTCAGTGGCTTTTAGGATGTCAAAAGCGTAAATAAAAAAATTACGGGTATGAAGTAGGAGGCAAGTTTGATAAGGGACCATTGATTGACTAGTAGTTTAAAGGCATATATGATCATTTGCATTTATCCGAAAAGTAACCTGCTGAATTATTGTAAAAAAGCTTACTTGGATTAAAGATCGCGCTGGTAGTAAGCATCCCATGAAATTATTCCATAACATAAAATTATTCCGTCATGAAGAAATCTAGGTGATTTTCAACGGTCAAGTCAATTGCAGATTTTTTTTGAAATAAGGAGTGCTATCGACAGAATTGTGTTTCATGATCAAAAGGTTGTGCAGGGTTTCTTTCACTGTCTTCTCGAAAAGTGTAATATCCACTGAGCTGAAACTTCAACAGGTTAGGTTTTTGAGCATTCTTCCTGGGATTTCGAGTGGTGTTATTATTGGAAACGAGCAGGATGCATGATGCATGTAGCTACCTTCGGCAGATTATATAATACCTCCTCAAAAGGTTTCAGAGAGATTGGCGTGAGTCTGGAATGCATTATTTACTGCTGTATGCCTGGTTCTCATGTAAAGAGAACATACATGTAGTCCTTTTCATGCATAATAAATCTGTACCATGCTATTGAACCTGTTTGCCTGCATAATGCTTGCCCCACAAGGAGCTCTCACCAGTGGTTGAAAAGCGCCTTTACATCGGCAAAGCCGAGCTAGGACATTAAACTAGTCCAACTACTAGACAAACCATGGTTTGGTGAAAGTTTGTGCTCTAACGTCATTTCTGAACCTGAGTGATTTGTTTGTGTTGACTGTTGTCTGTACAGGCAGCCGCCTTGGTCTTACAGCAGGAGACAGAGAAATGGGAAGACGACACTAACTCCATCGTTAAAGTGGCCAAGACCATGTCTGGTCAGATGTACGACATGGCCAGATACGCACGCAAGATTAACAACCCTGCGGTGAGTTTCTGATTGCAAGGAAGGTTTGGGGCGGCTGGGGTTATGATTATTATACATTTGTGACTGTCCACCACCAAATTACAATTTTCCACTGTAGCATGAAACTAAAATGCAGCAAAAAAAACCCCCTAACAATCAAACAAATGAACCAGAAAAAGTATCACTTGGTTGACTGTTTTACATTTTTAAAAAAAATCCTAACTCCCTAGCATGATTTACTAGGAACCATACCCATCCTGGCAAATTCCAACACCATATGGTAAACTGCACACACATATTTCTGACTTTGATTCTGGAGGTGTTCCAACCCAATGTAAAAGACTGTCAGTTTCGGGGTTCTGTACCCATCCTTACAGATTCCAACAAAACCAGCTGTTAGGGTTTGATGGGTTGAGTTTTGTTAGGGCTAATGAATAATTTATAAAAGTCTCCTTCAGGTGTGAAAAATTAGGAATGATTGGCAATTCTACAATAGTCAATTTCAGTAGGTCAACTTAAAAGCCTGTTTTGGAAGTGTAAGAAAATAGTCCATGAACTTTTAACTTTTTGGTCTTTTTAGGCAAAAGAAGAGATGATTAACACAGCCAAGGCAATTGCAGCCAACGGTAAAGTTATCTACAGGTTTGCTGAGATCCTGGCTGAGTACTGCTTGGATAGGAGGTAATAGAAAAATATGGCCCAGTTTGTAGAGCCGCTTAGCAGATATATTACTGATTACATTTATGTGCTAAGCGAAAATTAAGTCAGACGCAGTGCAGAAGCGGTGACGAGTAAATGGAAAGTCAGTTCACAAGTCCAGCCGCAGGAAAAAAAGGGGGGTGAAAAAATAATTCATAAATACCTAAGACAGTTTACCCATTCCCATTGGTGGAGAGCCCGTCATGTGGCCGGTCTTGACGGTTGATAAAGACATAGCAGGCTGGTCTTAACCACTCCATAAAAGAAGTTGTTTATGTGTTACTCACGAGCTGGACACTCCATATATAACTAGAGGGGTGTTTCGAAAAACATTGTAAAATTGTTGAACATCTCGATGGAAAACTTCAATTCTTGACTTGTTTTGACTTTTGGTTTTGACTTTTGGACAGAAAAGTTTTGATTTTTGACTGAAAAGGTATATGATTGGCATAAATATGTGCTAGGTCGGTGTTTAATGTTTAAGACTGGTTGGACTCGCCTGCAGGGTGTCTAATAAACTGTAGTAGTAAAAAAAAAAGTATTCTTAGGATCTTTATTTTTTTGGAAAAAAACCACTATGAGATGATAGAGTTTCTTTACCCTTGACATGAGTTTTGATCTGTGTGATTTGTACCTTTTGTTTAAAAGTTACGGCAGAGCTTGCAAAGACTATCAAAATCTGTTTTGGCCACTTTCTTCACCTTCTTGTTATATGAATGCCTTTCATTGGATACCAAGTTGGCCAACTTGGAATAAGTCTGAATAATGTCGTTTCATTTAATTAGCTGTATCTCTGGACTGGGGTGTCCAAATGAGATAAAGACCATTGTGTAGAGTACCGTCAGACTCTATAGATAAGTTTTGCAAAAAGAAAGTGCTTGTGTTTTTAATATTTATGGATTGACTTCGACATTGTTTTTTGAGACATCCTGCACACTATTACATATGAACAGATTCACTGATTAATTAGGCAAGGTACCGCCTCTTGACTTTTTAGATTTTGACCAATCAGCAGGCGCTTTCTATATCGGGTCTTCGGTCATTCACCCGTTGCGCGTCATAGACAATGGATTAAAAACCCCTGTGTCACGCACTCTGTATCATGTTACGCGATATGCAGCCTGCTGTTGTTGCATTACAAAACATTTTGCATTTGAATTGACCAATCAAACCATTTAGTCCTGATTTGGGATTGAAATGAGGACATGATTTAGTAAAGTCGACTCTGATTGGCTGACGCGTGGCTTGCATATATGTATATATCTAGACATATCAGATGTTATACAGGAGTCTTGCTCCATGGATGACGGGTGATACTCGGACTAGAACAACACTGGTCAATAATGCCTTTCGTTTGTTGCTCTTGTCAGGGTCGGAGGTGACCTCCTGTTCTGCGCTGAGAACATTCCCTCCCTCTGTACTCAGCTCAGCATCATCGCTAGCGTCAAGACGGCCACGCCTAACGATGACACCACAGATATCGTCCTGATGAAGAATGCAGATAACCTGATGCAGGCAGTGCTGAACACACTCAAGGCCGCTGAGGCAGCATGTGTCAAGGTATGTCATCCCATTTGTAGCTGTGTGACTTTTCAAAGCGTAGCTTTGAAGACATGAATATTTTTAAATGGATATTTGCCAAAACAAGGCAAGAAACCATTGAGGCCACCCAAGGCGGATACAGAACACATTTTTTGGGGGCCAGAAAATGGTTTGTTCCCCAAAAAAGTTGGTCCAAATTTAATATGAAAAGTAAGGGGGGAGGCACCAGGACTCTTCATAGCATGGTGACGCAGTGTTTAATGCTGTACACAAACATGGGCGTCGCCAGTATTTTTTCTTTTTCCGGGCGGGCGGGGGGGGGGGGGGGGGGGGGGGGGGGGGGGGGGGGGGGGGGGGCAAAGCAATTATTTTCGAGAGTGACAACCTGTCATCATTCATGTACCGCAGAAGGGGGCAAGTCAAAGCATGTTAATGAACAGTTTGGAAGGGAGGGATTTCAACAGAAACCTTGCTTTGTGTGGAGAAAAATGAAGATTAATTTTCACAGTTTTCTCAAAAGTATGATATCTACTGAGCTAAAATTTTGACAGGTTAATACTAAACAATTGTTGACTGCTGTGATGTGGGATATGACGTTTTGCACACCCAAGGGGCGCAGTGCACCCCGAGGGTGTTCAAAACGTCATATCCCACATCACAGCAGTCAACAATTGTTTTCAGGGGTGTGAAATCTCAGCTTTAAAGCTGATTTCAGCTTTTTTTATTTTGGATTTCAGCTTTTTTCCCTCACTTGCTGTGTACAATAGTATAGGAGATTCCCAAAGTTCAGTTTTTTTACACCTTTTCCAGCTATTTTTATCAGTGGTCACTCACACCCCTGTGTTTTGTTGTACATGTACCTCTGTCTTGGATTCTTTGGATTTTGATAAAAAAATCATGAAAACAAATAGCAGGAAACACAGCAATCATGACAATTGAACGTCAACTCACATGCATGTCGCATGCTCGAAACAGCTGATCGTCTGCTAGTTCACTGCTCCCACTCATGTGTGAAAACATGGTGAAAATAGCGTGGGTACTAATAATACAAGCGTTTCACACCGTACGTCCATTTACCGTACGTACAAAGTCTAGTTGTAGCACACTCCCTGTGGTACGTGATATCCCACAGGGAGTGTGTCATGACTTTTTATAAACTTAACACATGATCGTTCTAGGCCAATGAAAATACAGTGTTCAAGACAGAGGTATAACAATGTTTGATAGCATGCTTCACATTTATTGTATTGTTCCTTGAATTGGCAAAAAAACCCCTCTTTTTTAGCAAATGTCCATAACTTTCAAAAACAGTACTCAGATCAGAAAAGAGTGCAGTGGCCAAATAAAAGTGACCAAATAAAACAGGCATGCAACTTTTCCTCGGATCCACTGATTTCCTCATTTTTTACTTCTCTTGAGCGCCATTACAAATTGAAAAACAGTGTCCAAAGTCTTGTGTGTTTTGGAATTGCCTGTTTTTTTTTCTTCTAAATTCCCAGTTGCATGCCTGTTAAAAACCAAGTATTTACACTTTTTGAGCCATGTGCTGGGTTTTCATTGGTGACCACACTTTGGACCTTTCAGGGTCTGAGGGCCATCCCTGAACTGGGCAAGGATGAGGAGGAGGCAAGAGCCCTAGCCACGCAGTGGAGGCTGAGACTAGACCATCACAGGCAGATGCAGGCATCATGCGAGCAGGTCGATGCCCTTGGACTCAGGAGGTTGCCACGTAACATCTCTGCACCGGCTCTGACTCAGATACTTGCACAACGCTGAGACCAGCTGCCGACTTCACGAGAAAGTGTGCAGCTTCCGCCATGCGTAGGACTTGGGCAACAAATTTGTTGCGCAGCTGCACAATAAACTTAACAATTGGTTTCATGAAACTTGGTGTAGCTGCGCAACATTTAAATTTTATAAATATCTTGGATGAGGATAATAACAGCATTTACGACGGCTGTTTGTGCATGATTTTGTTCGATCCAGAAACAGTCGTTGAATCACCTCAGCCCGCCATTTTGAAAATATTTTTGTCCGACTTTCTTTGGAAGTGTGCGGCAACTCTAACAGCTTGGTCACGAGTAAGGTACTTCAAACACAAAGCTGTGAGTGTCTTGTATCAACCTTGATAAGTTGTGTAATAACAGGCGCCACGACGATCACGATATGCTGGTAAAATAGGTCATTTCAGTTGCTACGCCACAACTTACCCCAACGGTAATGAATCCGCAAGTTACGCCATAATTTGTTGCGCAAGTCGCGGGTTTATGCAGTATCAAACTTTCGTGAAATTGTCATAACTGAAACGTTACGCAGCGTCGAATGTTGTGCAACTTCCGCAACGAATTGTGGCGCAAGTGGACTTATGCCTTTGCGTAAAAGTTTCGTGAAATCGGCTGCAGGGCTGTAGTCGAGACTGTCTTCCCGAGTCGCATTGCAAGACAGTCACAAGTCAGGACCCAATAGATCAATACATGAGGCTGCACCCACTGCAGTTGTGTACATGCATTCAGGTTTTTGGTCGGGGGGGGGGGGGGGGGTGCAAAATGGGTGGTTTTTTTGAAAAAGTGGCCACAATTTGTCATTATCGTTTGTAAAATGGTAAAAAGTAGAGAGGGTATTACAACTTGTTGCGGGTTTGGGGTGCTGGTGCTTTTAAACAGATTAATTCTACCCAGGTACAGGTAAAGCCTTTCAACCTTTGTACCGACCAGGGTTGGATGGACCCTGGTCCATCCCAGAGATTTTGAATAGGGTGACAGGCCCATTTGCGTGATGTTGGTTGACAAGTGTAGCTTGGCAAGGGATTGTTTGCAATTTAACATTAGGGTCTGAAGGGCAAGCTGCATCAAAGCAACCGAATGGCCCTTGCTCTAGACTTGCTCAAATATTGACAAATAGGTACCCTTTGTGTTGATGGTTACTCGTGAGCTTAACCATGCAGATCATGTGGCTCCATTAGTCTATTTTTGAGTGCAGCATCAGCCTAATCATGACATTGATTATGTTTTAGGTCTCGAGATAAGACTGCTGATTTTTTGTCCCTTTTCATAATTCAGAAGATTAGAGTGAAGTACATACAAGTCAATTTCTTTTTGTCCAAAACTACAAACTGTGTTTTTGGTTTATTTTGGGTTCAGCTTTTATGCATGGTTTCGATAATTATTTGAGCATTGTAAAATATCACGGGCCTAAATGTGTATTTCGGTTTCATTGTGTCTTTCATTTTTGAGTCGATATTTGTAAATTTTTGCATACATAAATGTAAATGCATTTCTACAGTTTCCAATTTCCAAACAATAAATCAATTCAAATTGAGCTGCTAAAAAAAAAGAATTTGTATTTTTAATTATTGACCCATGAACCAAATTATAAATATCCAAATTGATGGGACAAACTGTTGTAAAATGAACCACATCTGGTAAAAAGGGCTCTTGACTGTTTCATGCCCGGCATTTGTTGACCGATCATTTCAATATGACATCAAACAAATACACAATCTTAGACTTTAAAGTGAACATGTAACCACCAAACGGAAATGAGTCCAAACAGCCATGTAATTTTTCAAATATTTTTTTCTTTTTATATTAACGCATGACCTATCTATTACAGATTTACAGGCACACCATTAAGGCACACATCAGTTAAAAAACACACACCATTAATACACCAACAACATGTCTTCCATTTCAAAATAACAATACAATGTATGTTCTCCCCCTGTGAAAAGTCATCCAAATTTGACATAATTTTGACACACGGCTGGGACGCCAGACGCATGCGTGCATATATTATCAGCTGTATGCTATAGATTGCTAATCATTGGGCACAGCAGATCGCAGCAGATGTTCCTATCGCACCGATGCTTCGGTACGCTGTCTGCCTGAAGCACGACAATGGTTCCCATGGCAACATTGCGCTAAGACAATGCAACTTTAATGATGTCGTAATGAGTGTTACAAGGCCGGGGCAATAAGCCATTTGCGAGTAACCTATACCCTTTGGGATTTACATTTGAAAAACATCTGGTACACTGACTTGCTCAGAATGCTTGGAACATTTTAACTTTGAATTCTCCAGACCAAAGACACTGTTGCTAATCACATGATTCAGGGCAAGCTCTTGCATAGTTACGTAAGAGACGCTCAGCACCAATACATTGTTCACAATGGGTACGGGTGAGAATGATACAAGGACACCAGACCATGCCGGAGCTGGGGGTTGCTAGCATAAGGCTTGCCCCGAATCACGTGATATAGTAACAGTCTCTTTGGTCAGGAGAATGCTAGGTTAAAACGTGCAAAGCATTGTATTAAGTCAGCGTTCCAGATTTTATTCATATTTAACTCGAAAATGGCTTATTAATAGACCATTATCACGTTGCGGCCAATTGGATTTTTTCCCATTCAAATCGATGTAACCACAGCGAGGCTGGAAGGAAAAATAGTCTGGTTCCTGTTTGCACAAAAAGATTGTCATTCAGTCCTGTTATTGGATACAGGGAACATGACTGCAATGGTGGCAGCATGATAAAGGTCTATTTTTTTTTCTCCTGCTTCCGATGTAGAGATACACCTTGGAAATAATTATGAACGAAAGCCTGTTGTTGAAACACCATAGACGTCTACGAAAACAAACTATACAAGAAGAAAAGGATTCAAAATATATATATACTTCAACCTCCCTTTATGATCATATGCACAGACCTAATGGCATTTCCCCCTCTAAATACTTAAATTTCAACCTTCCCAACCTGAACGTCATAATAATAATTATACCCATGCAAGTTGTATCTGAATCTCCCTTATTTATGTGAACTTTTCTTTCCTCAGAATATTTCACCCTTACTGAAAAGGATCCTACATTACTGAACATGGTCGTGCCTGTATAGGTACATGTACATGTACATCACACACATTGGATACACAAAATGAATATTCTAAAATATAACAAAAATGGATTTCACTGATAATGAAATTCTATTTCAAGGCACGAACAGCAATAAAATGTATCTATTCACACACAATGTAATAAAAACAATTTCGTCAAACTCTACTCGTCTAATCTCAATTGTAATCACCTCACCTCATCAATGTCACTGAATACTTGCAAAAATATTTTGGGTTGTCTACAAATCATATTATTAAGTTGCTATTAACGTCAATATTGTGTACATATAACTTTCTTTAACTGCCACAAAGCTAACATACCACGAAATAAATAGCATGTTGCACTTGTCATCTTGGACGGGTAATAGGCGAGATATTTCAAGTTCTTGATATTATATCACTGATATTCCTACTTTTTCGAATTAAAGTAGTAAATGGCAGTATTAAATGCAGATGAATTTCTGCCTTGTTTTGAGAAAAGCCAATTTTTGGCCAATTTTGACTAAAAATGTAAGGTTATCCCCTTGCATTTTTTTTTCAATTTTGGGCAAAAAATGAAATTGCTTGAAAGTTGCTAGAAAGATGCCTTAAGGGCCCTAGAACGCATTCCAAATCGATTTCTGGACAGATGTGCTATTAAAGGGGAAATTCCGTCGAAAATTTAAGGCAAAATCGCTCAAATAATTTACTTCTTTTTCTCCAAAATTGGATGACTTTTGCCCAAATCTTTAAAATTGTGCGAGTTAGAGTATTGATTGACGTTCCTCTTGCATCCAGATGAATTTCTGCCTTGTTTTGAGAAAAGTCAACTTTTAGCCAATTTTGACTAAAACTGTAAGGCTAACCCCTTGCATTTTTTACATTTTTGGCCCAAAAATGAAATTGTTTGAAAGCTGCTAGAAAGATGCCTTAAGGGCCCTAGAACGCATTCCAAATCGAATTCTGGACAGATGTGCTCTAAAGGGGGAAATTCCGTCGAAAAATTAGGGTAAAATCGCTCAAAAAATTAACTTCTTTTTCTCAAAAAATGGATGATTTTTGCCTAAATCTCTGAAATTGTGCAGATTAGAGTATTGATTGACGTTGCTCTTGCAACCAGATGAATTTCTGCCTTGTTTTGAGAAAAGTCAATTTTTGGCCAATTTTGACTAAAAATGTAAGGTTAACCCCTTGCATTTTTTTCAATTTTGGCCCAAAAATGAAATTGTTTGAAAGTTGCTAGAAAGATGCCTTAAGGGCCCTAGAACGCATTCCAAATCGAATTCTGGACAGATCTGCTCTAAAGGGGGAAATTCCGTCGAAAAATTAGCGTAAAATCGCTCAAAAAATTAACTTCTTTTTCTCCAAAAATGGATGATTTTTGCCTAAATCTCTGAAATTGTGCAGGTTAGAGTATTGATTGACGTTGCTCTTGCAACCAGATGAATTTCTGCCTTGTTTTGAGAAAAGTCAATTTTTGGCCAATTTTGACTAAAAATGTAAGGTTAACCCCTTGCATTTTTTTCAATTTTGGCCCAAAAATGAAATTGTTTGAAAGTTGCTAGAAAGATGCCTTAAGGGCCCTAGAACGCATTCCAAATCGAATTCTGGACAGATGTGCTCTAAAGGGGGAAATTCCGTCGAAAAATTTAGGTAAAATTGCTCAAAAAATTAACTTCTTTTTCTCCAAAAATGGATGATATTTGCCTAAATCTCTAAAATTGTGCGGGTTAGAGTATTGATTGACGTTCCTCTTGCATCCAGATGAATTTCTGCCTTGTTTTTAGAAAAGTCAATTTTTGGCCAATTTTGACTAAAAATGTAAGCTTAACCCCTTGCATTTTTTACATTTTTGGCCCAAAAATGAAATTGTTTGAAAGTTGCTAGAAAGATGCCTTAAGGGCCCTAAAACGCATTCCAAAGCGATTTCTGGACAGATGTGCTCTTAAAGGGGAAATTCTGTGAAAAATTTAAGGTAAAATCGCTCAAAATATTAACTTCTTTTTCTCCAAAAATTGATGATTTTTGCCCAAATCTTTAAAATTGTGCGAGTTAGAGTATTGATTGACGTTCCTCTTGCATCCAGATGAATTTCTGCCTTGTTTTGAGAAAAGGCAATTTTTGGCCAATTTTGACTAAAAATGTAAGCTTAACCCCTTGCATTTTTTTTCAATTTTGGCCTAAAAATGAAATTGTTTGAAAGTTGCTAGAAAGATGCCTTAAGGGCCCTAAAACGCATTCCAAATCGATTTCTGGACAGATGTGCTATTAAAGGGGAAATTCCGTCGAAAATTAAGGTAAAATCGCTCAAAAAATTTACTTCTTTTTCTGCCGTTATTTTTAAGTGGCAATATGATATTCAGACCTGTTTACTTGGAGAGCCTGTTTTTATTTTTGTTTTTCTCTCGAACAAAACTGATATATTTTAAATATTGTGAAGATGTATATGCCGATCTAGCTTGTAGCCTACGGCTGCGGGAAAGGATGTTTGTGGTTCAGAACGCGACTCGAGGGAAAGACTGGCGTTATTTCAGCCTTGAGGGAGACTAACTTGGACTATTTCAGCTACACAGATATTCACAAAATATACATCAAAATTACATTAAAACGACAGAGCTACTGAAGTTCAGTTGGCTTATTTCTTTGAATTCGATCATTCCCACACAAAAAATAATGAAATACCAATTACTTGCGCGTGGTTACTTGACATTTTTTAACTTGGAAATTAATACAAAATAGATATAATTATATACTTTTATTTGCAAGAAAATATTTGTGTTCATATTAATTAACATGTACAGTGACCACAAAAAAATATTTACAGATTGATTTCATGTACTATTATTTATCAATCTTGAGTTTATTGCAATTTGTGTGTAGCGACGAAGCGCCAATGCTCGACAGAAGAATTGATCATAATTTTTTGTTTTCATTATCAACATCGATGACCGTACCCTTGAATAATGTATCTTGAACAAGACCTACCCATTCAACTGCTCGGCTATCTTACTGAGAATAATGTATTCCCTTTCAAATAATAAGGTAAATAAGGTAACATGCCAATTGCAATAGAATGGATTTTCGTTTTTGCATTCATTGCATTTAAATTTCAAAGGTAATGTGTAGGCCTAGTGCGTAGAGTTCCATGACATTGGCTACAGGGTCGACACAAGTTCCATATACAGTCGACTCTCGTTAATACGAACACTGTTTGTACAAATTCTGGTTACAGCAAACATAAAGCCTTGGTCCCAACCACTATACAGCGTGTGTCAATAAAAACGCAGGATTAGAAACAAAAATATTAAGAATATAAACCACCCCTATTCATCATAATGTTAACCCTCTTTTCAAAGTACATGTACCTTTCCTTCTCTTCACTATGCTTTTTATCCCATCCCATCTCAGAGATAGAGTACATTGAAGAAGGGTTATAAATTCCAAGCTGGTCTGATTTGTGAAATCACACATACCTAATGAAAGGTTTGAATTCAGTACAGGTGAAAGTATTTGTGGATCACAAAGAAGGACATGTGTGGCAGGATTAGGCTTACATAATCCTTTAGTCCACAATCAATGTTATTAGTCAATAAATCATGATGATTTGAAACAATGATAGTCCAGTTATTAAATTTAAGTGATACTTATCGTCAGTTGTTTCAAAGAAAGTTTTGTTCTGGTTTAATTGTCTTCAATGCATACCTACATTGTACATAACTGGTCGTTGTGTTAAGGTCATTGAATCAGACCAACCCGCTTCAGAAGGGCTTCACAAAACTTGTCATAACTTTTGAACCAAAAGTCCAAATTCCACGTAACAAAAATCTTGTCAAAGACGAAATTATGGACAATCAAATCCTTATCAAATTAGGCACACCAGTAGCATAATTTTTTCAGAAAAAAATCGCTTTGAATCCTGCGTTTTTATTGACACACGCTATATGTGCACAATGAATGGGACCAATACTCCACTTAATACACAATTCTGATATAGCAAACATTTTGGATAGGTCCAGCTATAATATTAAACGAGAGTCGAATGTACATTTGTACATGTGTTCTTATTACTTAATTTCTATTGTTATTGACTGCTCCTGTAAAAATAGATATAAATTGCGCATCAAATCATATTGCAAATATTTTTTTTTACCAAATCATCTTATTATAGCTACTATTATAAATTGCTTGTGTGTAGTAGGTCTCAAGGTGAACTTATCACATGTACTCGTGAGGCAAATACTGATTCACATGGACGGATTTCAAAATTATTCTATTCTATTCTTTATATACATACAAATTTTAGTCCCTAGTAAATCTATTGCAAAAACACACACATTTCCTAAGGAATATACATTTCCAAAGGCATTTCCACTTGAGATGGAGGTTACAAAAAAATAAAATTGAACAATGCACTCTTCCAATAAGTTGCGCTTCACTGGTCTTTTTGAAAACGTTTTCACTATAATGAACTTGCCCCGACGATGCCCCATGCAGAGATGGAGTAAAGTACATGTACACGTACGCCCGTACCTGACCTATCTCCAAGTTTCGTTGGTCGCTCGTACCAAACGTACCATCCAAGGGCGCTGGTGAAGGAAATACAGGCTTCGCAAGGCACTGTGGGTAGAGTACCGCCACGAATGTGCGTTTACGTTAGGCGCACGTGGAAGTCTTGCCCTTTTGGGGTCACTGATTAAAGGCAGTATAGGAACGTTGTTATTACCCGGAACGGCCCTACCGATTTAATGAAACAACTTACTCGAAGTGAAAATATGACTGGTTTTAAATACCGTGTGAAGTCATTTAAAGCAATTCACCAGCGAGCTTTAGTTTAAGGCGATTGGATACGAGCGAATATCTACCACAGCAAGTGCTCAAACAGCCGTCGATTGTGGTCCTGATTTGCATTATTCATTTTACAGCGATGATAATCGACATTGTTTGATGGTTAAAGAGTGTGTGTACTGAGCCATACTTAATCAAAGGTCTGTCAAAGTGAAACCAATGTCAGGGCACAGACGGAGTTGCAAAATATATATCGAAGGTGACACACCACGGTTGTGATGCAACCACGATTTCAAGTCGAAACAAATTCATGTATAAAATCTGCATAAAAAGGACTAATTCAAGTAAAAACATAACAGAACAATGTACGATGAAAGACTGTAATTTCAATAGAAAGCCCCCGGAGAGCGAAAACCTCCGTCAAGGCTAAGCAATAATTCCCCGCCATACTGTCAGTACACCCCCCCCCCAAAAAAAATACTCGCATATAAATGGTGAAGAATCCTTCAAACAAAATCCTGGATCCAGACCCAGATCTGGATATATGATCACTTCCAAAATGTAATGGATTTGTATTTGTACCAAGGACCACCCTAGGCTAAATACAATTTCGTGCAAATCCGTCCATAACTTTCTGAGTTATCTTGTTAACAGACAAACCAACCAACAAACCAACCAAATCCGATGAAAAGATAATCTCCTTTGCGGATGTGATAATGATCAAGGTATGCAAAACCGTTCAATCAATAGTCAAGATCAGATTTATCATTTTCATTTTGTACAACACCCCGGGTTGACAACAGTTTGGTGCGGCCTGAATGTAGGCAAGTTTCGCTTTGGAGAATATAACACAAGTCTATACCGTAGATAACGTGTATTTGTTTTTCTTTTGTCAAGCAATTCAACAACAAAAACATAAAATGTAAGCATGCCTACTTCCTTGAATTAATAAGCACTGAGATTTTAAAAAGTGGTGGACATCTCAATTGACCCATACATACATTATCAGAATATAGGCTTGATGGCAACTTCATAACGACCCGACAAACATGACATTCAAGCAATAAATGCCAAGAATATTTCGAGACTGCAAAATACAAAGAGAATCCCTCAAAATGGCTCTTAAGTAAATACGTGTACAAGCAACCGAAATCATTTATCACCTCCAAAAATGCAGCAGGTCAATGTCACCTTCACCCAGACAATAGGAGCTCACGACGTCATTCAAAGCTGCTGCTCCAAGTTCCCAAAAAAGCTCGTCGGTGATAATTCGCCTCATCTCCAGGCAACGTTGGAAAAAAAGGGCGGGGAATTTCTGACCTGTCAAACGAAAGTAAACAACGGCATTAAAAAATGACAAGACCCATCGGATGGCGCACGATTCACCCTGTGGAGGCAGAGCAATTACTGTATTTTTTTTAAATGGTTCTCAAAATGACATCGGCTAATGTTCAGACCAAGCAAGCCCGTTACGTGTTGGACTTCGGCCCTGTTGCCATGGTACAGTAAGAAGAATAAACAATGCAAGCGAGAAGATGATTAGGTTTTTCTGGAGGTGATCAGAGGTCGGATGAACCATGAAATTGATTGTTTACCTTCCTATCAAATTTGATTTCAGAGAAACTGAGTTATAAATATGCCATTAAACGAAGAAAACATGGAATAAAGTACGTACATGTAATGGCTTCTAAAATGAATGAACGATTCCCTATTAATGCTAGCTCTGTACATGCGAACCTAATTATGATGAAAATGTGCATATGAAAACACGGCTCGCACTAATTGAGAACGCGCAACCAGGATACAGATTATGATGCATCCGTATAAAGTATACTCTTCTGCAGCCGAAATATTTTCGAAATCTTCAGATCATTGTCTGCTGTTCAAGCAAATAAAAAAGGATCGGGACAACATTTTAGCTTATATAAACAGCAGCAAAAATGGATCAGTAAATTAGCACATTTTTATTTGCTTATATCCTGGTGAGTTAAAAAAGGCACCCAAATGTCGGGACTATTGTTGCAATGAAGTTTGGCATGTAGGACTTCCAAAATCTAGTATATGAAAGCCCAATTCATAAGCTTTTTTTTAGTACAAGAATCATTCAATTTCACTCATGTACTTTTCAAGTTACGGAATTTTAAACACGTCCACCGTTTTAAAGTTCTGTCCAGTGATCACAAAAAATGGTGCGCGTTCTTTAAGCAAAACGAAAACGATTCACGCACATTGTTTTTGTTTTGCTGCACCTTTTTGTGATCCGTGGACAGAATTTTAAATGTTGTTGTGTTTGAAATATACATGAGTGATTTGAATGTTTCCTGTACCAAAAGGAAGCTTATGAATTGGGCTGTCATATCCTAGATTTTGAAAGAGCTACATGCAGAACTTCACTAAAACAATGTTCCCGATATTTGGGTTTCGTTGTTTTTGACCGATGGGATAATTTGTCCGAATGCACCTGTTCAAGAGCCCTTACATCTTTAACTGACAAACATGCAGTTAACGATTTCTGTCCGCAACCCTTTTTAGTCACTTTTCAAGTTTCACAAGTAGGCAGTATTGGTAGGCCTTGAAAGACAGATGTCGTGCCTAAAAATACATCATCATATCCGACTATACTAGAGGTTATTTATTGATTTTCCCCCAACGGTATGCATTCTTCATTGTGGCTATATTAGTTTGGACTTGAGACCAAGTCCTCTTGTTGCTCTTCTTGTGTTTTGGGGCATCCCACAGCATTCACGGACAACTTACAATCAACGCACCGACTTTTTTCAAGTCTAGGTATCATCGAGCTGTTTGGTAACAGTGCGGTGAGAATGCATACAGAGATAGATCGATATTGTCTTTATAATAGGGCCTTGAGACCATCTCATGTGCGCATATAATAATGCACCACCGATGGGAAGAGCTATTCAGAACGAAATGCAAATAATGAGCTCCATTTTTTAAAAGGCTATTACTTTTAAGTTAATCTCCGGAAAAAAGCGGAACAAAAGCTCGCCAGAGCATCTTCTGTAGAACTATACCCCAGGTATTCATTGTTCGGGGCAGGCACGGTGCGGCACCTTAACTAAGATGTCATCTTCCGTTGGATTGAACGAGCTTTACTGCCTTAACCAATGCACATAAACCGAATTGCTTTTGTGGGAAAGAACGTTTTGGCATCTGTACCAAACACTCGACGTAGATGTTGTTCATCTTGAAAAGTGTTTTTTAAAGCCCCCCCCCCCCAAATACGTTATCTATTGACAGACCCCTCAAGTTCCTATGATTTCGTAAGCCTATGTTGAGATTGTTTCGAGTGCAAACAATAATTCCCCAACAAGACTGAGTCACGTCCAACCTTTTTATCCCCACGACAACATTTTTAGCGTGTATACGATTAGATACTTGAATGGTGGAGGTTGATATTCTGTTGTTATTTTGGGTAATTTTCTGGGACAACTAAAAGAATATTGACTCTTGGTAGAACCGGTTTCTTGTGGAGGACACCAAAAAAGGTCTCTTTTCGGCATTTCTTGCTGTATTAATAAGGGAATAAATGATATCTAGTAATGGCCCGAACCAAAGGCCAGGGAAATTATGGGCAATCAGGCCCAAGCCGGATTTTAAACGTGTACTTGTTTAATACCGACCAAGCACATTTTATTCCCATTCATGAACACCTTTCATTCAAAAGTCAAAACAAATCAAAAATTAATTTTTTTCAATGAGTTTGTTTAACAATTTTACTTCATGTTTTTTTTAAACACCCCTCTAACTATGTTTAAAATATGTATACCTCTTGCGATGAGCTGTGCGATGTGGCGATGAGCTGCGCGATGTGGCGACGAACGCAGCCGTATTTTTTTTTTCCAATTCCGAGCATTTTGGATGCAATTGGACCCGAAAGTGGCGCTTTTTGGTCATGTTGTTGACGGATCTTTTTTCAAGATGGCTGCTTTTCCATTTTTGGAAACATCACTCGTTTTAGCGGTCGTCTTCTTTGGGTGAGAATTTCTCGAAAACTCATCGGTCAACCCTCCAAAAATTGGGAAGCAAATGAAAGATGACATGTTGATCATCATTTTTCTGTGCAGCCTGAATACCTGTGAGAGTTCTGGGTATTTCTGGGTATTTTTTTTTAATTATGGGATTAACACTGGTGTCTATGGGAATTTATTTGCTTGGGCGTACCCTGATGTAAATTCATGGTCAAAAACTCAAGCGTTGCCGGTTTCTGTCCAAGGTTAATGTGATAAAAAAATATGTCACAAACTACCCAGGTTTAATTCTTCAAACGCGAAGCAAATTAATCGCCATCTTAACCCTAAAGGGGCCGGGGGGCGGAATCCGCCCCCCCCTCAACATTTTCCGTGATAGCCTCTAAAAAAAAAAAAATTTCGCGACCCGAGCTGTTATGACTTTTTAGCCTCGAGCTTTGCGCATCTTTTGATACCAAAAACATAAAAATCGGACCACGGGTTGCCGCGTAGCGAAAAATTTTCTGATTTTTTGCATATACGTCGTGTACACAGAGCAGAATTGCCATTCGTACATATGAATAATTAATTAGCCATAATTCCAAAACCCATTGACCTATAGTCATGAAATTTCTTGGGTATGTTTAGGAAGAGTTGCTCTATGCATGTGCCGAGTTTCAAAATTTTTCGTCACTCGATGGCCGAGATCTTAGGGGGGCGGAATCCGCCCCCCCCCCCCCCCCCGGCTGAGAGATGGTCAAAATAACCCGGCCCCTTTAGGGTTAAGACTGGATTACCGATGATGATAATGGAAGGCGATCAAGAAGATGAAGTATTGGTTTCATTTTTGCGAGTTACATTCAAATTAAATTCCAGAGCCTGCGAGCGTATACATGAGCCAGTCACATGTGTACACAAGAATGTTCTCAGTCGTCCGACTGGGGTTGTTGACACATCGTCTCTCTAGTTAATGCCACCTATTGTAAGTTACGATGGGACTATTGATGTAGATGACGTCAATTGGACAATACGCACGATGTGACAATGGTGATTGGCCAGGTTCCACCTGTTGAGAGTTGACTTAACGTTCGGCGCCTATCCCGTTATTAGTTTACCAAGACCATTGAATGTACATGTTGATACTTAAATCCTCCATGAATGCACAGAGAAGGAACCTTCGTTTTTTCAGCAGGGGTGCTTCACAGGTTTTCATGGAAAGAATGTAGTATCCTGACGCCACTTCTGTGGTTGTGTAAAAAGTCTATGGAGAGTTGAGTGCATTCTCAAAGTATTTTCTAACAAAATTGGAAATGTTTCTCAGTCCCAATTTCATGTCTTTTCAACATTTTTGCAAAGGTCAACCTTCATTGAGATAATGATGAAAAAAGTGGCGTCAGGGTGCAACTTTTTTCCGTTTTCATTATCCGAAACTCAACTTACTAGGTTCAGCGATCACTATTCTTGGTACAATGCAAGTAGCGCACCGCCAATGATTTAGAAAGGCAACGTTTCGTCCGTTGACATGTCCTCTATGCTAAATGGACTGGCTGACAATGCCAACATGTTGAAGCATCACGTCCGCCATCTTGAATCAACCAAGACGCACGGCGCCGTAGACGCGTGTTTGTTTTTTCCCATGGGTAGTCGGTACGGATTTCAGACCGGCTTTTGAGATTAAACAATATTCTATTCCCATAGGGCCGGTCAACCTCCAAAGATCAAGAATAATTGATTATTAAGGGAACTTGTTGTTTTCAATAAAAAAAACCCTTAACTGCAAACCTGATGGCGAATCAGTTGCGTCAGGGCGCTGTTAGTAAAGAGGTCACGTGGTTTTTCTTAATGATAGCAAATTTCCTTGAAGAGGCTTCAAACCTTTGGACAGGGCGGAGGTACAAAGTTTGAAACAGTCCGATTCATTTCGATTTGTGCACCTAAATACAGGGTGAGTATAAAACACCCGAAACCCAAATGTCGGGACTATTGTTTTAGTGAAGTTCTTTATGTAGCACTTTGAAAATCTAGGATATAAAAGCCCAATTCATACGCTTTCTTTTAGTAGAAGAATCATTCAAATCACTCATGTACTTTTTAAGTTACGGAATTTTAAACACAACCACCGTTTAAAGTTCTGTCCACGGATCACAAAAAAGGTGTGCGTTCTTTCAGCAAAACGAAAACAATTCACACACATCCCTATCTGATTGTTTTTCGTTTTGCTGAAAGAACACTGAACTTTTTGGTGATCCGTGGACAGAACCTTAAAACGATGGTTGTGTTTAAAATTACGTAACTTGAAAAGTACACAAGTGATTCTTGTACTACAACAAAGTTTATGAATTGGGCTTTCATATCCTAGATTTTGCAAGTGGTACATGCAAAACTTCACTAAAACAATCGTCCCGACACTTGGGTTTCGTTTTTTTTACTCACCCTGTAGATCGTTCGTACATACAGCAGCCATCTTCGAGGTACTTTTATTCAACAGGGCCGGATACGCATGAGTAGACTCTGGCGCATTAATTGTTAATGAATTAATATTAAAAAAAAACCACACCTCCCGCTGTGCTGATGCTTGTTGATTTTTAGAAATTTGGAAACCGGTTAATTACGTGGTATTTCACTAAACACCTTCAGGCAGAGTTTGTAAAAATTTCTGTTCAATTTCGTTTGAGCACTTGGCGTCAAACCTTCCAAATAACTTTAAAGTCATTAACATTATACACGATGTGACACCGATAATAGTCGCTTTTATAAGTTGCTTCGCAGTCAAACAGCACGATTGTGCAGACGGAACGAGTGAGCGCAAGGAGTACAAAATAGGCCGACCATATGTACTTAGGTTATCGAGTACGAGTACGAGTACTTGTACTTCCGAGTACAAATACTGGTCTCCAAGTACGAGTACTTGTACTTCCGAGTACGAGTACTTGCACTTCGGAGTACGATTACGAGTACTTCCGAGTACGAATACTTCCGAGTACGAGTACGAGTACGAGTACGGCAAATGGTTCATTGTGCGTAATTGGCCCTGGTCCCGGCCCAGTCAGACTGATATACAGACCCAATCACGGCCAGCTGTTAAATATGTTTGTCCAGACGTGCACAGAGGAAAATCCAGGAAACTTCGATTTCTCCGCAAGCCAGTCAAGCATTTCAAACTGAAAGTATCGATAAAACAAGGCCGTGGTAGGTCAAGCTATACGGGTTTTTCCCGAGTACTTATATTCGAGTAGGCCTACGAGTACTTTGAGGATCGAGTACAACTTCGACATGTCGAGTACAAGTACTTTGCTGCCCGAGTACGAGTACCGTCATTTCCAGTACGAGTACTTTCACATTTGAGTACGAGTACAAGTACTATAAAAAAAGTACTCGAGTACGAGTACCGAGTACGAGTACTACAACACTGCTCATATTCGATTTAAGTATTTCAAGATCTCCAATGATTACTATTGAAGTTTAATATTTTTTGCAATATCAATTAAACAGTTCACGTTTTCTCTTCTTTCTTAACAGGCCAGCCCCCCCCCCCCCCCGTGATACGCATGCCCAGAGCATTATGTACACCATTATTACTGGACCGAGTTATGTACATCTTGGCCGAATTATATTAACCCAACGATATCTCGGCTTTCATCTACACGTGAAGCGTATTTGTATGTGTCATAGGCCTAATCTTTTTAATACTCCTTTAAAAGTGTTGATTGTTTTATAACAGAGTTGAGCTCACGATGATCTTAATCCGAAATTAATGATGGCCACGAAATCTGGACCGCTTAACATTTGGAGTGCACTCTACACGGGATACCTTGAAACAAAAGTGTTCAAGTGACAGCAAAAAAAAATACATGCTTCAGATCAATTCAAAAATATTTATGGGCGCTTAGGCTTCTAGCTTTCGATACTTGTAGGATGAACATGTACACGAAAAGCTATTTCAATTTCTTTTAAATAAAGAGCAATGTTACAATTTATAGGAATCAACTTTTATAAAACCTTTACTCGTCAGGTCCTATGCAATCACGAAAACAAAAATTACTGCCTGTTTATAGTTTAGGCCAAAAAAAGTCTCCGGTTTCTGGTATGCGCGCGCGTCGCCGTAGCCATGCGCGTCGGCAAAAGTTTTTTTTTCAATGAAAGATGATGTCTCAAAACCACCAAACTCACTGGTTTGACTGGAATCCTGCTGCCGCACAATTTTAACGTGTTTTTAGATTGGGTTATGGTCGAGAATAATTTATGTGGCCTCTCTGGACTCCCATATATTTGCACTAAGCTTAGTCGGGCACCATTTGCAGTCATCAGCCGACATTTGAAGCAAAAAAATCAGGTAAAAAAAAAAAAGCCGCGTCGCCGCACACTTTCTGGGCAAGCTCCGTACCAGAAACCGGAGTTGCATTTTTTGGGCCTAAACTTATTTGGTCTAGAATGGTCACTTGTCATTGGACTTCATGTAAATGCAAAGGTCATGTTAAATATCACCTGCGTTGCATACCGTCTACATGATTTTGCGTTTGGCACGGAAGTAAGTGCACATTATGTGTACGTTTTTAAAAAAATGTGCCGCTTATAACTAGAAAGGGTTTAATTACAATGTCAGTAATGATCTTCTGAAGGCTTTGGTATTTTGAAACATAATTAAATTCAGAAAGCGTGATTATATGAAAATTGGACAAGATTGCTAAACAGAATGATAAATTACTTCACTGTGTGGTTTTCTTTGTAAACCTACCCGTGGGACGATAAGGCCGCTTTTTGCCAAAATTTAATGTTCTGTGCAGATTTCTGACATTGTTTCTCCTGGAAGAGAAGTGTTAAAAACGTAGCAAAATGACATTCACGGTCTTTTCTAAGCGTAATTTCAGCTCGGCAGCTTGATGCAATTTCAAATTCTGCATTGTGAAATTTCACCCAAACCTTGAACTCCACCCAAACCTTGAATTTCCCGCGTTAAAGCCGGAATGAAGACAGCGTAAAAACTTAAAATGTTCCGTGCAAGCAATTTCTTTCAACGACCTTTTTGCAAAATATTGTTTTACATACATTTCTTTTACTCTATCAAAAAACAAGAAAAAAAACGCCGCGATAACCATGCAAGAGCCAAATATTTTGTGCGTGTGTGTTTTTAAGTGATACCAATGGAGTTTTATAAAACGTTTAAGATTTGCACCCTTTCTAAACATTAAACTTTTTTTTTCATTTGAAAGCAGTTCAAAATATTGTTTGATCTGGGCGAGCACTGTGGTGTTGGATCATTTTTACTTACATCAAATTACGTCGGTATTTAATAGAATGATATAAAACAAATGCGTGTTGTGTATTTTTGTGTAATGTCAAATTTTTCCAAACAGAATTTTGCTTGACATTGTGGTCTGTCGAAATAAATGATCGAAGATCTGAATGGCAAGATGATTACTTTTCCCAAACTAAATTATTAAAGAATTGGAATCAATTTACTCACCTTAGCGAGGTGTGTTGGTTTCCGATTGGGGAATGGATCCGGGCGGTGTCTCTGGCGCTTGTTGACGTGGGGTAACCACTGGGCTAGGGGAAGGCGCTCCGTTTGGACTACGAGGGGTACCGTTGTTGCGGCTCAATTTCAGCTCCCGGCTTGTGAGTGAGAGTTGGAAACTGGACGAGGTGCTTGGCGAACGATCTCGATCCGGGTCCGATGATTTCCTGAGGGACGCCTGGGGGATCTCCTGGGCTATCTCACCAGGCTCTGGACTGTCACCTCGGACAGCAGCACGGATGTCCCAGCTCCCACCTGTGTCCTCATCGCTGCTCTGCGGCACTGGGGTCAGGGGCGGTGGGTAGCGGGACTTGGTAGGGTCATACTTGGTCCGGGGATCCGGGTAAAAGCCCTGGTGGAAATCTTCTGCCTTGTCTACATCGTTCCCCCTCTGTTTGTTACCGATCTGCAGACGTAGTCCCCCGGACGTGGCAAAGAGGACCGGGACGTGGAAGGAACGACCGAGAGTTGAAGGTTGGCTGTTGGACGAGTCGCTCGGCGCCCATGACGTGCGAACCCCAGGTTGGGCCAGTATCTCTTGTCGACCCGAGTCCACCATATTTTTCTTGCGGCAAGCACAAGTGCTTGATAATTGCTCCCGGACTTCTGGAACGCCTACGAAAACAACAAGCGGCACGATCCACGCGTAGCAGAACCGCATCCAAGTAAAGCCAGTTTTGACTGGAGTTGAGAACACATTGTCAGAAGCACTAGGGTAACCGGAGTCACCGTACAAGTAGACAGTCTGTATGGCAAGATAGGGGCCTTCGAAGAGGCACCACAGGATCACGAGTGCCCCTACAGTTTTGGCTTGTCTGAGTTCTCTCCACAACTTGGATCGGCGACCCAACCTGTTAGCGTAGTTAACCTCAGCGTTGAAATTCTGCACAGTGGGCTTTTCGTCCACTGCTACCTTGATAATGACCACATACATTGAGACGATGATGATCAACGGTAAAATGTAGCAAAACAACGAGAAAAACACCAAGTAAACTGTTCCAGTCTGCGAGGAAACGGAACAGAGGTAACAGTCTGGGAGGTACTCCGTTGTTATCACTCCTGCAACGATGACCAGAGTGAATGCCGTACCGTGAAGCCAAGCATACCCTGTGATAAGGCTGGCTTTCACCCGGTTCATCTTGCTGTAAACGTTGGGCCAACGCACTGCCAACAGGCGGTCGAGGGCCAGTAAAGCCAGAGCTATAATGGTCTCAACGTTGATCAAATTCAGGACGAAGGCACTCAACTGACACATGAATTCACCGTATGGCCAGTATCCACTGGCGGCGGCCCCTATTACCAGCGGCATCGTTAGTACGCTGTCGCACAGCTGGACAGCGCAAATGTTGCCCAGGAACGTGTTCAACACGAACGTCTTTTCCAGGTTTTTGTGAGTGAGAGCGATCAGGCAACACACGTTTCCAACCAGTGCTATGAGGACGAAGATCGACAAGAAGACGGCAGCAGCTACAGCTACCGCTGAGTCTGCTACTGTCGTCGTCATCACCTCTCCTGTACTCCAAGACGACGATGACATCATTGCACTACTGGTGACATTCTGTAACACTGTTGTCAATCCAGTGGCATTATCCAATGTCCCCGTTAGATTAACATCATCTGTAGTAGTAGACAGATCACCGGTCGAAGCATCCAAGTCAATTGTGCTCAAGCCAACAGTCATGATTTCGGAAGGCTCAGTCGTCAACGAATCCGGAGATATCCACAAACCCGTACTTATCGCACTCGTTACCAATCCGGAATCCGTCATTTTGGATACGGACTTCCCACGCAAACACTGTCCATGCACTCAACGATACAATATCTGCACACGTAGGCCTACCTACCGAAGATCCTAGCACAGTTTCTGGTGTCTGGTTGAGTCAACAAGAATGGCCACCATTTCCACTATACATGCACCTTCGCCCCATGCATCGTTTCTATGGTCTCGTACATCGCTGCCAAATACCACGAAACGCCACTGCTTAACCGCGGCGTATCTCTCCGAATTTCTCACCTCATTTTCCTGCAACTTAGGCCTATATTGTCCCCATCAATTGATAAAATTCTAATTTCTACAGCGGATTCTGACTGGTTTTTCTTCTTCTGTCGATCAAAATTAAATCCGTTGGCATGCAGGTGTATAACAATGCATTGCCGCACACACTGTATTACACCACAATGTACATAATACGTGCAGGTTTGCTATACACTGCATGCAGCTACCTGCGCAGTGCCGTACCTGTCCGTATCTGAAAAGGCCGGAATTTGACCAGCGGTGCATGACGGATCTACCTGCAGCTATCCGACGGCCGTTTGATGTTTCACACTCCCTCACTGGGTTATTCCAGACAGTTTTCTGTTTGCAAGTCAAACATTTTGTTTACAAATCGATCGTTGAAATCGAAGATGAGAAATTGATAGCTACACGTTCTCCATAATTTTGTCGCGCGGGCAATCTTCTGTCGGCCCAAATTAAAAGAAAACATGTGAACTGAAATAAATGAGGGCGCCCTTGACGATTGCTTGGTCTGGCAATTCATGCACACGTAAAGGCACTATCCACAGGGACCTTTTCCAGTATGCCGCCAAAAATAATTCAAAATATTCATTAGAGTTTAGGCCTACCACAATAAAACCATCAAATCATACCTCAGCGGATAAGTATATCGTACTGTTGGGGCTAATGTGATTGTCGAGTAGAAGTTTCTTCTCTCTACGCCCCCCCCCTCCCCCCTCCCCTCTCTCTCTCTCTCTCTCTGGTTTTTTTTTTGGGGGGGGGGGGGATTTGTTTTAAACAAAGGCCCACATTTATGCAAAAACGCGTTCAGTAATGGTGGGCAAGATAACGGCGCCCTTTTGTAGATCGCGCTTGGAAAGGTCTGTAGACCTTTCTACGCTTGGTTGGCAAACTGCACTTTTGCCAAACCACGGGTTGCAAAACTATGGAAGGTCCAACACTGCAAAAGTGAAGAAGACTTATTACAGATAAACAAAATATTTTTTGATTGTTGAAAACACAACATTGTCAACAAAGCTACAACATAATTCCTAAACTTACTATGTATTGGGTGCGTAATGGTTGCCAACTACGGCTTCAATTTATGCGCTTGCGGCTGCCCATATAAAATGGCACTAATGTTAACAAACCAAGAAAGGCCCAGACCAAGGAGGTCACATCATGGAGGTAGATTGAGACCTCCATGGTCACATTACGGAAGAACGTTTGGAAAACGGTCGACGTTAAGTTGACGCCCGATTTTCAAAATTAAGAATGATTATACTTACAGTAAAATGTCAAACGTATAAGCGGCAAAATGCGAAGGTTTAAAAAGAAAGCCCTGGTATCGGGGGGGGGGGGGGGCTCGTACCATACTGTCAATGGGGGCGCTGTTCAAATCCGACGATTATCATAACATCATATTACAGAAAAGTGTACAAAATACCCCCTAACCAAGCTGGCTCTGTCCGTATTTTGTGCACAGGCAGACAATATTAGCAGTATTTTTTGGGGTGTCAGAGCAGGGGGGGGGGGGGGGGGGGTTCGCATTATTTTTAAGGAATTTCTATGAATAAAACCCTAAATTGACAGAGCTGGGGGGGGGGGTGACCCCCCCCCACCATTAATCCGCGCCTGTCAACTAAAGAAAGCCTTGTTACGGAACATCTGGTCAAGTTTTCTAGAATGTTTGTCTATAGTGCCCTTCACCAAGTTAATGAGCATCAGTAGTTTAGGAAATGACAACGGCCGACTTATACTAAAACTGAATGACCAACTTGTGGACATTGTAGCTTTACCAAACGTTTCAATGCTCTCGTTGCGATGATCTGGTCAAATTATCTTCAATTTTTGTCTAATGCCTTTCACAATATTAGAGCATCTGGTGTTGGGTAAATATTATGGTAACTGATGACCAACATCTTCACTAAAAATGACTGACTTTTGGACAACTTAGCTTTACCAAACGTTTTTCTGCCCGATGTTATACCCAATTCAGAGGACAAGAAATACCTAACTTAGTTGGGGTAAGGAGGTTACGATGATCTGGTCAAATTTTCTACAGTTTTTGTTTAATGCCTTTCACCAAATTAGAGCACCTGGTGTTGGGTAAATATAGGTTTTCCCAGCCAATTTCCTGAAATGTTCATTCACTTCTAAAAATCAGTCTTTAATTTTCGTCTGAATATGAATGCACGTCTTTAATCCTATTTCAATTCAACGAAAGTTCAATCGTTTTCATTGTCCGTGCAGTAGATTTTGAGAAACAGACGGCCACTTCCGTTGCCTGTGCATTCATTACGCAAGCACACCTTTTCGCGCAGAGTTCTGGAATACAATTTCGTGAATGTGCAATCAAAAGTACATTTTTGTCATTCAAAATAGCAGATTGCATCACATAACATTTAACTAAAAGTGAAATAGAATGGCCAATGTTTGAAATCGCCCTCTAAAAGCGAAAAGGAAGTCTTGTAAACGAATCCGAATGAGCATAAACGAAAGGTGCTGCTCAATCACTTAATTGATTGAACTGAAATGGTATCGAATGCTCTGGTAGCGAAAATGAAACGCGTGTTAAAGCGATTCTCAATTTCTCAAATTCAGACGAAAATGAATGACCGATTTTCAGAAGTAAATGAACGTTTTAGGAAATTGGCCGGGAAAACCTATATTATGGAAAATGACCAACATCTTCACTAAAAACAAACTTCAATTTAGCTTTACCCAACGTTGTAATGCCCAACGTTTTTACAGTGTACTCATCGTAAAAGTAAGAGGTCCTCAAGCCGCCATCCTCACTAACTTTAAGCTTTTCTGAAGTCCCAGCTATATTTCAGTTTACAATGTATGGGTTCCGCATTTGCGAAAAAAACCCAGCTTCACAACAGGGCATGATATTTTTGTTGTCACGACCTCAGACGCCAGAATGTAATTTTCATGCCGTCCTATACAAGGACAGCCAATATGTGTATATCTATACCAATTTCTGTACGTCAGTGAGAACCTTACTCCCTCGGGAGTGTGAAAAATCCTATGGAAATGGGAGGATTAAGTATTGTTAGGAAAACGGAAAACTCCAAATAAAAGTAGAAAGTTTCATTGAAACAACCTGAACATGAGCAGACATGTCATTATATGACCAAGGATATACACTGATTGGTCACTGTGTGCGACACCTGTGTCTTGATTAGCTTCAATAGGGCCTTAGGAATAGTCGGTTGGATTACTTTTCCACTACCTTCATTTCAACAGTAAAGAAAGAAGGGACAAAATAAGCAGTAGGCTAATAGTGAAACGACAAATCGACGCCACATCGCAACGTCGATGGATTTGCCGCTAGCCATGAGTTCGCTGGATGAATGAAGCGCTGAATCGTAAATTGAGACACAAATTTCGGGAAATACGCTGTCAACATCTTTCTGGTGACTTCTTATTACACAAGGACAGCCAACGGGATGTAAACAGTCAAAAATGTAAACAGACCAAGAAATATGCAGAAAGTTATAATGGAACAACGTGAACACGAGCCGACTTATCATTAACGACAAGGATAGACACTGATCAGCCATTGTACGCGGCACTCACCATTGATAGCGATGATCGTAGATTGGGACTTTAGTGAAACACGATGTAAACATTTATCCTGGTCACCTCTGACACCAGAAAGCATTTTTTTTTCATGACCTTAATTTCAGCAACATGAATTATTTAAGAATAGAAACAAAATCAAGGGTGTAGAATTAATGGAAGAGACACAAACTAAACTAAAATACCGGATGGTCAATGAGATTGTCGTACCAACAACTTCCAGAGGTTCATCCTTGTATATTCCTGCAAATAGGCTGAACAATTCAGCTGGCTTATGGTGGGAATCGTGACCGACTGGTCCAAAAACACAACATTTGGCAGATAGATTCGTATAGCCGCAGAGAAGATTATTTAGAAGGGCAGACCCCTAAAATTCTCTTAGGAAGGGTGCCTAATTAGCATGGGGGGGGGGGGGGGGCGCATTATTTTCAATGAATTTCTATGAAGTTTTTTTTACAGAGCTGGGGGGGGGGGGGTTGACCACCTCCCACCCCACCCCAACCATCCCTGGATCCGCGCCTGTGGGCGCAACAAGGGCTGTAGGCTCTGGGGCCAAAAAAAGTCATTATGCGCTACTGTAAATGCGATCAGTCATTCTGGGGAGCCAAGGTGAGACTTTTAGTCTAATTCACAAGTGACAGTCGGTCAGTTAGCGAGTGAGTCAATGAGGTACAAATATGATTACAGGCAGTTCCTTCTTCTTCACAAAAACTTAGTTAAACGGAGAAAGTACATAAAACATCCTATTCCTTATTTTGGTCTTCCCAAAAAAATTCGTTGTTTCGTGCGATAGTTAGCCTAATTAATAATGTAAAAATAGTCAAGTTTACATTTCGTAGTCAATAATGCGGACTATCAATGCTATTTATTAGACTGTTTTTCACCAATACTCAATCGTATCCTAAATGTCCATTCAATAAAACTTTTAGGCGTTACTGTGAATGCGATACAGTTTTGCACACATTTAGATGGCAACTTTATTGGTCGTGCGTATTGCACAGTACCCATGCAAGTTATAACATGGGCGCGCACCTATAGTCAACCCCATGTACTCTACCGGCCGCAGTGTTTGATTTTCTTCAAGTTTAAAAGTCTGTGACGTATAACTGCACAACACAGTCACTGTCAACCTATTATCACAAAGCAGTTTGAGTCTCTGAACTCTACCCTCAAGAGTCGCAGCTCTTCTGACGGAAAATTGAAGGGAAGTCTTGCATCGATACGAGAACAGCACCAGCGAATAACAAGGTATGAACAATCATCAACATTCCAATTGGCAAACTTTCTAGGATGAACTAGTGTCTAGCTATTTTGTACATTAAATTATATTTGATATTTCAGTTTGTCTATCAGAATAATTATTGCGTAGTTGAAGGTCAAAACCCGATATTAAATTAATTTTTAAGGTTCATTTTTCTATTGTAATCTTTTACGAGGGTATCCATTTCTGTTAAACATAACTGCTTTGCAAAGGAACCCCACATTAAAAACTACATTAAAAAAATAGACATTAAAAAAATAGTTCAACTACAGGGAGCATTGACTGGAAAGTAAAACAAGAAATTATTTTACTTAAAAATGACAGGAAAATGGAACAGTGAAAAGAATACAAATAAGCATGCCATGAACTCAAGGTAAAATGTTAACTTCCTACGGAAGGCCTTACAAAAAAAAGGTAGGGCTACACAAATTTACACGAAGGAAGCAGAATAAATAAATGATATTGCACACGAAACGAATCCCACAGACGATAGATGTAAAATCTCTAATAGGCCTACTAAATCAATATCAAACCCCCTCAATTAGAAGAGAAATTTAACATTCCATTTAGATTTTTCTCTGAATTCCATCTTCCTTTGATACCCAATCTGGTTCTTTTAATAAATGGCGGCCAATGGTTTCTATACTTGCATACACTTCGCGTCAAAAACATGTCCTCTTTTGATTTTAAATAACTCTGTTGTTTATCAGTGGAATTAAACCAAAACAGCATGGCAAATTTTATGCAGCGAGTTTCATTAGCTTTGTGCAAGAGGGTGAGATTTGAACGCCATGCGACAAAAAATACATGTACTCACTTTCAGAATCTGCCACTTTCGACTTGGCGCCCTCCGAGGCTCCGATGTCGATACATCGCTGGAGACGGTGGCATATCACGGTGCTCTATTTATTATTGAGCAATCCAGCTTTAAAGTAGTTCATGAACGTATTTACTCACGATAAATCTCACATATTGAAATTGGTACTGATACATGATTTATTCACGATTTGTCTCCTCCAGGGTTGTTCTCCGGGCAGATACCGTCTTCTCTTTCTTCCTTGCTTTCATGATGGCCACTTTGCTATTTACGCTGAGTTTCATGCTCTACCAAGTTGTGATCGCCGGCGGTAATCTGAGCGAAGTGAGTCTCACCGCATTCTCGTGGTGGCTGGTTGTGAACGCCGTGATTACCGGGATACTCTGCTGGTATGCTTCAGCGCTAAACGGACAGGTACGCACGCTGGTACAGGCTTTTTGGCTTGAATAAATATATCTAGGGTTTCTTATTAAATTAGATGCACCTTGTATTCGGTAACGGGGAACAAGAGATGACCAACAATAAAAGAATGCCGTCGTCACAGTTCAAATAGCCTAGTGACTTCACGTACAACTGGATGACTTGTGATGGACTTGTTTTAGGACCTAAGATGATCAGAGGAACAATAGGTTTAATTTAAGTAGACCTACAGCGTTGGCAAACACTAGTTGTCTGAGCTCGATAAATGATCCACATAACTCTCAGCACTGCAGTAGTATGTACTTGATTGGGTGTTCAATCACCCTCGTCTATATGCCTTATATGTACTGAATATCCCCGTACGGACAATTCGGTGTCACACTCGTTACAATTACCCTGGTCATTGTCTGTAGAGTCGAACCTCGGACCGGGGTAGCCGGTTGTCAGTCCACCAGAATTATGAAGCAACTGAAAGGCTGCTCTTTTTTGCCCTTCAATGCAGGCCCACGATGCTGTGAACTATTTGCATGAAATATCACATTGGGAGGAGCGAGACGATCAGATTACTGTACAGGTAAAGGAACCGGATGGATGCCCTTCCCACCTTTTCACTGATCAAGCCCATTTAAAAATCATATGGTTATTGCCCAATTATTGCATTATAGTGTTATTATGGTTTATGGCAGTGTTAATCCTTGATCTATTGACCCGGGGTCAAGTCTTCCGCGTGCGCATGACACGTGCGCACGGGATACGTACGCAACCCCGCTACCAAGGTGTCGACCAGTACTCTCCCACCATTACCTGCTCTCGCACCCTGGTATTGGATCATTTGTATATCTACATTTTTTGAAACGTATGCAAATGAGGAATAGTCTGGTGCCTGCCTGTGCTTTATATCAGCGTTTGTTCGAAAGTTTTACTTTGCAAAAATAATAAGACTCGAGTCTATAAAGCCAACAAATTACTTTCTCTCTTGTGATTACCTAATGTATAGTGTTCAAATATTTGTGACTCGAATTGACTCGAGCTACATACTTGACTCGAGTCGAGTCGAGTCATTTGCTCTTAGGGACTCGAGTCGAGTCGAGTCACCAAAATTATGACTCGAGTCGGACTTGAGTCGAGTCATGGACTCGAGTCATTACAACTCTGCGATGATGACACGAAGGTGGTTGAGCTGGCAAGCAAATTGTAAGCAAAGCTACGCGATGCTTGCGTTTCTTTCACACGATATGTTTTAAAGGGATTACCGGCGACCAACTCGATACATGTACTACGCCACTGCCCTTGTAATACATGGAATGGATTGTCATTTACCTTGGCATGCCGAATTGCCCCTGCCAAATTATACGCCAAGTAATATTTTTTAAAGATAGGATGGACATTATAGGAGGGCGTTTTTTAGTTTGGGAAATATTTTGGTAATTACGAAAGATTCTACCCAAGCCGAAATAGCGGCATCCTTTTGTGTCCACCATTATCTGAAAAGGCTAATTAAAAACCGATTGTTAAATCTGCGTTGTAGGACTGTTATTCCATATGTCCATTACATGTATATAACTCCTCACAGTGTTATTTATTTCACTGATTACAATCCTTCTGCATATGATAAGCCTTCTTTCTGTCAAGAGGTATTCTCAACTCATTTTCATCAATATCTTACAGTTGACTCTGTTTTTGGCCAAACTGAATGGCGGCCCCATCGCTTTGACAACATGGAGTTTTATACCAGTTACCAAGGACTTTGTGTTAACGGTAGGAGTTTCTGATGTTCCATTTTGCGTGATTTGTATGTCGTTAGTTTATGCTCTGTGCTTGGCTTGGTTTTGTTTTAACGACAGTCGGGCATTCCTTGTTTTGTTTGTACACTCTGAGAATTTGCAACATTTTAAACCATTGAAACTGCACTGTTTTCAGTAATTTGTTTAGAGTTTAGTGTATTCAGTCATGACTCAAGTCTGTGGGAGATTAAGTGAAGGGGTGAACGGAGGTGGGTGTTTGTTTCTGTGTTGCCTTTCTTTTCCTTATTTTTGCTGGATGGTCAAGCTTCTTCCACTCAATGCTGACGAGAAGGGTGTCTGAATTGACAGTCGTAATCCTGACCTGATAATTCGTCATCCACATAATAGGATAATCCTGAAACATCTGCCATTAAGAGACTGCAAGGTTTTTATTTTTTTATTTTTTCAGAGTTGTAAATGACTCGAGTCGATGACTCGACTCGAGTCCGACCCGAGCTCGAATGCAGTACAATTGGGTAACTGCCTCGACTCGATTCGAGTCACTGAGAGTATTCTTTGCCCAAGACGCTAGTGATCGATAGTGGACGGTGAATAGTGCGCCCTCTAATAGACAAGCGGGCCATTTCGTATCAGCGGTTTAACTTTTAAGTTTCTCGGTAGGCTTTCCTACGGACCAATCAGCGATCGAGAAATAGCTCGATGGCTCGCCTGACGGGTGTAAATATACACGTCACGCGGTACGTGATCGTACGAAAGCCCTGTAGTGCCATCAAGTATATATTTCGCCAAGTTCGTTTTTATGAGTTATATATTTCGCAAGGTTCGTTTTTATGAGTTATATATTTCGCCAAGTTCGTTTTTATGAGATACATTTTGGCCAAGTTCGTTTTTATGAGTTATATATTTCGCCAAGTTCGTTTTTATGAGTTATATATTTCGCCAAGTTCGTTTTTATGAGTTATATATTTCGCCAAGTTCGTTTTTATGAGTTATATATTTCGCAAGGTTCGTTTTTATGAGTAATATATTTCGCCAAGTTCGTTTTTATGAGTTATATATTTCGCCAAGTTCGTTTTTATGAGTTATATATTTCGCAAGGTTCGTTTTTATGAGTTATATATTTCGCCAAGTTCGTTTTTATGAGTTATATATTTCGCCAAGTTCGTTTTTATGAGATACATTTTGGCCAAGTTCGTTTTTATGAGTTATATATTTCGCCAAGTTCGTTTTTATGAGTTATATATTTCGCCAAGTTCGTTTTTATGAGTTATATATTTCGCAAGGTTCGTTTTTATGAGTTATATATTTCGCCAAGTTCGTTTTTATGAGTTATATATTTCGCCAAGTTCGTTTTTATGAGTTATATATTTCGCCAAGTTCGTTTTTATGAGATACATTTTGGCCAAGTTCGTTTTTATGAGTTATATATTTCGCCAAGTTCGTTTTTATGAGTTATATATTTCGCCAAGTTCGTTTTTATGAGTTATATATTTCGCCAAGTTCGTTTTTATGAGTTATATATTTTGCAAAGTTCGTTTTTATGAGTTATATATTTCGCCAAGTTCGTTTTTATGAGATACATTTTGTCCAAGTTCGTTTTTATGAGTTATATATTTCGCAAAGTTCGTTTTTATGAGTTATATATTTCGCCAAGTTCGTTTTTATGAGTTATATATTTCGCAAAGTTCGTTTTTATGAGTTATATATTTCGCCAAGTTCGTTTTTATGAGTTATATATTTCGCCAAGTTCGTTTTTATGAGTTATATATTTCGCCAAGTTCGTTTTTATGAGATACATTTTGTCCAAGTTCGTTTTTATGAGTTATATATTTCGCAAAGTTCGTTTTTATGAGTTACATATTTCGCAAAGTTCGTTTTTATGAGATACATTTTGTCCAAGTTCGTTTTTATGAGATACATTTTATCCAAGTTCGTTTTTATGAGATATATTTTTCTTCACGCGGATCTCATTAGATAGTCATGCTGCTGGACCTTCTTCGTCTGTACTTTTATTTAGGTCTTAGTTATGATGAAATTATAGCCTGCCTCTTATTTAATGACAACATAATCATTAGTAAACGTCACCTGCATCGCAAGCTCCGTGGGCTGGGATTGTTTCGGCGAAAGGAATATTCAGACATTTTTGATGTAGCCTGCTTTATTGAACGCGAATTGGAGAAATCTGGGCAGCTTCACGGATACAGATGGATGCATCTACGTTGCATTCAGAACGGTCTTACTGTAAAAAGGGACACAGTACGTCATCTCCTACGTTTATTGGATCCTGAGGGTGTGGAAATAAGATCAAGGAGACGTCTGCGGCGACGAATCTACCGCGGTAGAGGTCCGAACTTTATCTGGCATGTAGATTCAAACGATAAGTTAAAACCCTATGGAATATGCATAAATGGCTGCATTGATGGATATTCGAGAAATGTACTTTGGGTTGAATCGTACTCGACTAACAGCGACCCTTATGTCATAGCTGGTTATTTCATCCAAACAGTTCTTGACAATGTGGGGTGCCCTAGGGTAATTAGGGCAGACTTTGGGACTGAAAACAGCACTATCCGTGCAATGCAGTATTTTTTCAGAACCGACGGACAGGACCCATTTTCTGGAGCAAGAAGTTTCATTCAAGGAAGTAGTCAACACAATCAGCGAATCGAATGCTGGTGGAGCGTCCTGCGAAAACACTGCTTGCAATTCTGGATGAATTTGTTCGAAGAGCTGAAGGACAATGGCGATTTTTGTGGTGACTTCCTTGACAAGTCATTAGTCCAGTTTTGCTTCATGAATCTTTTCCAGGTATGCACTGGTCATAGGCGTAGCAACCCTTGGAACAGTTGAGGGGGGGGGGGGCAAGCACCCCTGGCTGTCACACTAAATTTTCCAAGCGGAGGAAAAAATAGTTAGGTTTATAAAGTAAAGACTTTTTCTCTCTTTTTAGTCATAGGGTATTTTAAAGTGGCAAACACCAGATAATTAATTTCTACTAAAATTGTGAACAGTTTCAGTGCCACCGCGCGACATGTATCAAAAATAATGGTGAACCAAATTATATTGGCCTAAAAAAGTTGGGGGGGGGGGCAAAAAAGGTACTTCCCCCCCAACCACTTTTGAAAGTGGGGGGGGGGGGGACATGCCCCCTTGCCTCTGCCCCCCCCCCGTCTCCTACACCTATGCTGGTTTTAAAATGGAGCTATTTTGCATGCCTTACTTCCATCAAATACTATCAGTTTGCACTTACACACATGCAATGCAAACTGTAGTGTTCAAGAGCCTTTAGCTGCAGCATTTCTAAAAGTCTTGCATTTCTTACCATGATTATTAATCTTATATTGGCCATAACATTATCTAGTTAAGTTGGGTGATTTGATTTCTACTGTGCTCTCTTAATGAATATTACAAAAAATTTAATTATACTGATACTTCAAACATTTTGTTCCCCCCCCCCGCCACCAGGATGATGTAGATACCATAAAGAAAGAATGGAATTCCCATCGAATTTCTTCATCTAGAAATAGGCATGGACCCTTTGGTCGCCCTTCAGTGATGTACAGTATGCCACAGCTATATGGAACTCAAAACTTCCTAGTACCAGTGCAGCCTGATGAGATTGAAGTATGTGAAAGTGAGTGTACATTCAAGAGCCCGTATCCTTGTGACAGAGATGTCTTTGACCTGTGTATCACATTAATGGCAGAAGCAGGCATCACAGCACCAACAAATCCTCGTGAAGGACAAGATCTCTATCATTTCCTCCGAACTGAAATACTCCATCGAATCTGATGTGCATTTGATCCATGGACACTTATAGCCCATACTGTCAGGTCATTGTTAAGCAGGAGCTTCCGCTGTCCTTCCTTACAATAAATGGTCTCATTTTTGTGCGGTTCATGGGCTTGTATTAGTCTCACCTCAATGTAAAAACCTTTGTATTGATTTTTATCTGAACATCTTATTATCAATGCTTCATGAGAAAGGGGTATGGAAAAAAAATATGAGCTGGACATAGTCTGTTGATCACTGGTATGGGGTCACATGTCATACTGTGATAATGCATGTACATCCTAGGATTAGAAACATGTTTAAAAGTGTGGATAACAGATCACCAAGAACAGTAAAAGTTCTGTTGCACTCCTCCGGCACTTTATTTTCCCATGTTAGAACAACGTCAACTTTTATAAAAATCAAAGCTTAGTTTCAATATCATGTAATTTGAACACCATGGAGTAAATACATATTTGCAATACAGCAAGAAAGGCTTTTATATGTGATGTGTAAGTCCATTTTTTTCTGTTGTCTCCGACAATTACAGTTTATGCCAAAGTCAAAAAGGCTTTCCCGTACATTCTTTCACTGCACCAAGGGTCGTTGATGGGAAAACCTGTATACCTGTGGTATGAAATGTTCACCCCTACAGCAAGCTAGGAGGGCGTTTTTCGTCGGATCTCTTTTTGTTCTTTACCCTGTAAGCTCCAGTCATAATAAAAGAAACACATAAACTTAAGCCTTGTCCCATGCAGTGTATATGATTCTAGGCAGTTGACCAGTAAGGTTTTCAGAAAGTGTTCTTGATATTCCTGACCCTGCATCTGATACTGAAGAACTGCACAGTGCTTAATGATATTATCATTTATTCATGGATGAATTGTTTCTATAAATTAGCATGGAGTCTTTGCGACATCAAAAGAAATGGCCCTTTTTATCAGTGCTGTTTTTCATCCTTAAAATCTTATACTAACCTTGGGGATACCAGATGGGTTTTAACTGATTGTCCTACAAATCTGAAACATAATTTCCATTTGCCTTACCCTCTACGGACAGTCCTCTGCATTTAAGTATGCTGTTTGCACCCCCGTGCTGACATATTTTGGTCTACAAAATCCCTTGTTTGCTCTTGTAACAAGATTTAAGCCTATAAAGAAGGCTTAATGGCAGTGGCAGCTTTAGGTGTCAATGTTAAGTCAATGCACCCTACATATACCCCTTGGAAATGTAAGTCATCAGTTAATTAACTATAAAAATAGAAATACATGTATACTCTTTTTAAAACTTTGTTCAAAACTTTCATCATCGACCTCATTTCTAGCCTCTACTAAAAATATACTGCTACTGGAAATATACTTCGACAGAAACCACACTACCAGTTGACATTACTCCTCCCTCTTTAACTGCTGAATGATATGTTTTTAGAACTACAAGGATATGTATACTTAAAATGAAAGTAACTTGTTTCATGACTGTATATGTATGACTTTACCAAAAACAAAAACTCACAACATGAAACCTGTGAAACTAATCCTCACAGCAAGCAACTGCCTTGCCTCGGTCTATATTTTACCAAATCCCTGGGTTTCCTTGATTGCAAATCTCATCATGGCTTGGAACTCATCTGGATCTTCCTTTCCTCTGGGGAGCCACAGAATTGGGCCACATGTGTGACTTGATGGCAAACGCTTTATGCCCGAAACCGCCGTGAAGAAAGAGACTTTGGGGTCCTCACTGAATCCACATGGTGGTGGTTTGGGAGCACCGGTCCAAAACTCCAGGATGTCCTCCAGTGAAACCTCAGTGATCTCGTCTGAGAAAGAGGGATATTCAGGATCAAGTAAACATGTCCTTTCCAGACTCAGACCGAAAAAGTTGAGAAAGAGAAACATTTTGCGGAAAGTAAATTCAAATTTACATGCATGCTATTTTATCTTTGCATAACCAAAACGAATACGGCATTTCAATGTTGAAAAACTTTGTGAACATCACTTCAATCAGTACTATTGCTCCTTCCAGCTGTGTTTGAGTAGTAATTGGAGATGACTAAAACTGTTATAGCGCCCTCTGCTGTTAGGCCCAAAGTAGGCCGAGTGTTGTGTTCCAATAATGGCTGCTGTATGTTGAAACTGAATTGGGAACATTAACTCCAATAAATTTAGCGTGCTTTGCCCAGTTATGAAAGTTCTCTTTTATGATGGACTAACCTTCACAATTTTGTAGAAAAACCTCAAAACAGTATATGGTGTCTTCCTCTTGATTCCTGTTGTTAGAGCCTGGTGGTGAGTACTCTATCTTGTAGAGTTTGCGCATCACATCTACAGACAAAGGATGGTCATCATAGATGAAGAGAGAGGCACTTGCTTTGGGGCTTCCTTTGACGTCCTCCCAGAGAGGGCCTAGTCCATCTGTAAACTGCCCAATGCAGCTCTGGACTCTGGAGTGTGTAAAAGACAATGTTGAACCAAGGTTCATTTAAGTCATGATGTTGCTCACATTTGCATGACCTCGGGTCAGTGCGAGGTGAGAATGTATTGTTACGTCCCAACTACTGCAGTGGTCCCAACTATAGTTGTGACAGTCCCAACTATATTTGGGACTGGTGGTCCAACTATAGTTGGGACTGTCCAAACTATAGTTGTGACTGTCCCATCTATCCCAACTATAGTTGTGACTGTCCCAACTATAGTTGGGACTGTCCAAACTATAGTTGTGACTGTCCCATCTATCCCAACTATAGTTGTGACTGTCCCAACTATAGTTGGGATAGTTGTGACTGTCCCATCTATCCCAACTATAGTTGTGACTGTCCCAACTATAGTTGGGACTGTCCCAACTATAGTTGTGACTGTCCCATCTATCCCAACTATAGTTGTGACTGTCCCAACTATAGTTGGGACTGTCCAAACTATAGTTGGGACTTCCCAACTGTAGTTGGAACTTTCCAACTATGCTGTAGTTGGGGCGTTAGAAGAATATAACTACTTAACGGTAGCATAAAAAGTTTTGAGAGTAGAGCGATTAATGAATATGCATACATGATGTCACACAGCTATATTCGTGTCGTCACACTGCCGTAAGTGGCGGAACAGTAGAGGGTGCAAATTTCATATTAAGATTAGTTTTTATTGTATCAAAACAAAGACAATAAAACATCTTTATAGTTAATGCTGTACAATGGCACTTAATAAGTTGCCACTCATGATCATCTTTTCTGATTTGAGCTTGTACCTGTGGTATATCTGGTGGGTCACCAGCTCCTTTACTAGATTGTCTCGGTCTGCAAAGTCTATCTTGTGAATGCTGGTGAGACCCTGGTCAATAAGCCAATCTGTCAGCTCAACGATGACTGCAGGGAAGTCCTCTTGCTTTGAGCCCAACAACTGAAAATATAATTAATTCCAAAACTATAAAGCAAAAAACAGAACATTCTCAAAGCCCTCTACAGATTGTGCTAGTTTTTGGAAAGAGATTGGAGAAAAGTGCAAGGTAGACGCCATGCATTCATGCACCGTACATCAAATGTTGCGTTTGCTGAGGCACCCAAATGCAAACCAGTTCCTATGGTCTCCCTCACTGGAAGTGCAATCAAATAATCAGCAGACATCCTTTCCTGTGCTGTTGATACCTTGTTCAGTGCTGCTGTGCAATGTCCTGCAGTATAATAGTAGCTTAATAAATTTCTTCAGTCAGCACAGTGAATCTTGTACATACTATCAGAATATAAGGTTTTAAAATTTGCAGTTGACATGATTTTTGACAGCCATACATGTATATGAAGTTAGGGTAGGTAAGGGACATTTCTAACAAGATTTATTATCTCATTTTGTATGCCCTTGTTAAGGTTAGGGAAGATTCCATTCCTGCACCAATTTTTTATGCACTGAAACGTTTAAAACAATAGAGTAAACTTGCAAAAAATACAGGCCCATGAGCTTACAAATAGGGCATGCAAGCCTATGGCCAGAATGACCAAGTTTGTTTGCAGGTTCATTAGATGTAAGCCTATGCCCATGACCCACTGGCAAGCTTGCCCTTATTTTCATTTTGGGGACCCTGCATGGCAAGCTAGCAGACCAGGAGCAGACAATTCCAGGTAGGGTGTATGATTAGATCAGGCTCATCATCTAAGCGACCGTGCAAATCTAGCGTATCTAGCAACAGATACCGCAATAGTACTGTACTCAGACAAGTTGGATATGGTCTACATGTTGTTACCTTTTCAACGTTGCATTGAAACATCTGGTCTGGCAAGTATCTGATGTCTTCCGTATCAACTGGTTGGCCAACCATGGCAGCAAAGACAGAGGGACTCAGCGAACAAAGCCCTGGTCCTCCATTGGCTAAGCTCCAAGTGATGAGTTTACCAGCCATGTCATATGCCCTTTGGCTGATTTTCTGGAGATCATATTTGAATGACAATCTGCCTTCACAATTCTCAAATATCCCTGAGCTTTGAAGTTCTTTCACAAGAAGGCTGGAAGGGAAAAAAGAAAAACTAATGAGTAATTGTGAACTCCTCCTTCAAAACTACAGGTATATTACTGCACAATCACAGTATCTCATTAGAAACATTTCCAGATTACTACAATGTAGTATGTAATTAAATTGTGAATTTGCCAATCAATTATCATAATGCACTAAATGTAATTTGTTGGTCTTAACCGCCATATTAAGACCGGCAGAGGAGATCTGACATATGCCCCAGCCATACATATGGGCATGTATTCTCCTGAGCTGGGCCAAGCATGGATTTATTCCCATTTACAAAATATCTTTGAAGTTAGAAAGTAAAAATAAGTCAATGTACGATAAATTTCCAATGACTTTGCTGAAGATTTTTTTCCCCCCAAACACCCCTCTAGCCATTTTTATGCACATTCCTTACGCGATGGACTTGGCTCATGCATGGTGTGTGCTGCATGCTGCGGTAGTACTTTATCACTGAGATTTAAACACTGCATGGTAACAGGCTCTTAACAAATAGGAAAGGCTGAACTGTCTAAATTATTTAATACTATGTAATTTTACTAAGGTCCATTCTCTGGTTATGTGTGTGACATCAACATTTAGAAGAAGAAATATAATTTCAATGTCGCACACGTAACCAGAGAATGGCCCTATATGCCCAAACTACATGGTCCATGAAAAAATACAATAGCACTACTGAAAGAAATTTGTTGAAAGTACATACTTGAAGAATTCACGACGGGGTCCTCCTCCATCTTCTGCATCCTCGCCTGAGAACACAATTCGCACCTGGGTCCAAAAGCTGAAACCAGGCCTACTGACAGCCCTCATAGTGGAAGCAAGTAGTCGCTTGCGATGCACAACAATGGTTGTAGGTTCTCCATCTGAACGCCGTCCAGCAAGTTTTGTGATAATGTTTCTCACAACATCCTCATTATTTCTGTATCACAAGAAAGCAATCAATTAGTTGGAAAGTAGTTGCTTGCTTATGGGTGTTCATTGGTGTCAATGACGACCTCTCTCTCCAAGAAATGTAGTGAAACAATAGTGAACAGGTTTAAGGTTCATTTTGGGGATTTGAGGACAGCTTGAATAGTCAAGAAAAGTGTTATGAGTGAGTGAAATCACAACTGCCGCCCTATAGCAATATTCTCATCCGGGACTTACAAAGGGCAAATGCCAGAATATGCCAGCCTTCCTCAATACAAAAATATTGATAGGCACCCATGCTAAAGGAAACCCAGATTTAATTTCAAATCTCTGAAAAATGAAAAGAACAATCACAACAGTAATATCAGGGAATGATAGTACTATTATTCTTCTTTCATATGACACATCAATCATGTATATCGGATAATAGATGACTGCTCAGCAATCATTTGTGTAAAACATATCAAAATTACTTTTTTTCCAAGTTTTGAGTAAGTTGCTTGATTGAGTTGCAAAATAAGTCAGTGACATTTGCCACAGTGCTTTGGCAACCAATAAAGAGAAATGCATGCACCCTGCCTTGTCAAAGTAAAGAATGCAGTGCTCATGCATGAATATAGTGGTTTTGCTGTAAAAGGTTAGGCTAGTGTCATCATGCACCTGAAAACACTTACTTGCAAAAATGATTTTGACACGTGTCACAAAAATGGAAGCTGTTCAGCCATCCGTTGCCGGATTTCAATGAACGATGTTTCAAATGAAAGTGTAATAATCATGCAATCATTACCCGTCAGTAGTTTGATGATATCTCTTTTTAATATTGAGAAATTCCAGATGAATCTCGGTTTCCTTTATTTTGGAACTCACACTTTACAGTAACAATGGGAAGAATTAACTTTATCTTTCAATTGGCATGGTCCTAAATTTGGGCTTTCACCGAAACAACAGAGCGGTCAAACTTATTAATATGTTCTATTGTACTTTTTCCGGGTTCAATTGAAGTTTCTTTTCTCAGCATTTTCACAGTTGCTCCACAGTGGCGTAGCCAGCCTTTTCCTGGGGGGGAGGGGGGGGGGGGTAACATTTTTAAGGGGGGAAATGGAGGTGTGGATTTGGGGCCAATATGACTATTGATGGGCTCAAAGGGGACCTAACATTTATTAGAAACTGAAAACAGAACTGGAACAGACAAAAAAATAACAAGATGAAAAGAAGGTTTTCATGAGCTCAACCAAATGTATACAAAATTACCAAGGTCAATAAAAGGGGGGGGGGGGGGTAAGAGTCCCCAGAATGGGGAAGTTGTCCCCTGCCCTTTGCTATGCTGCTGTAAGCTTAACTGACATGACTGAGCCAGTAGTAACAATACACTTATTACCTGTCATCATTTAGTGGTTGAGTGTCTTGCAAACTTGCTTCAATTGCAGCAGCCAATTCAATGTCTTCAACATCGCTCTCAGAGTCACTCAGCAATTCGATGTAAGACTTGTAACAGCTTGTGCCGCTGGAGCATCCTCCTTCCAAGTGGACATCCTGAATGTTGTCATGCAAGAGAAATAACACATTGCTTTCACAACTGTACTCAACAGCACCTCCACATTTGGTAGTCTACTAAAGAAGTGAAAAAAAAAATTTGTAACAGAACCAGTGGGAAAAAGGACAAAATACATTAGCTACAACAAATACTCACAGTATCAATTTCAAGGAAAACTAATTAAATAATTGTATAACACCAAAATTCTTGCACAGCAAATTTGCATCCCATTTTTACTATTAGTGGCCACCTTACCTGTTTTTGTTTTCGAAACTGAATAGTTGGAGTATCAGTCTGCTCAAACATGCCTCGGGCGTCTGCATCTTCTGCCTGAGGTTGAAAAGGAGAGGTTTATCCAAACAGTTGAAAATGAAATGTGAGAGACATAATCTTGCACAGATTTTCATTCGAGATTTCAGCTGCAGATGTAGATAAATTATTGAAACATTCAAACATTATTCAAAAACTATACCCAGAAACGATTCAACTCACCTGATGGTTTGATGCCTCATCAGAAGTTTCAACCTGAACCTCTTGTCCCACATCTAAATACTGCTCATCATCAGATACGCTGAAATCTGCACTGTCCTCTTCATCGGTCTCCTGCTTTGCAGCCTTTGTATCCTTCTCTTTGGTCAGAAGATAGAAACGCAGCACTGGCATGTGAGCAGCATTATACTTTTCCTCCACTGTCTCATTGTCAGAAATTTCATGCTGTGTGAAATCTGCAAGTGCTGTTTCAAATTTGTGGAGGGGACCCTTGGATGACTGACCTTCTTTGAAATAAAGGCCTTCGGCAACAGTCTTAAGCTGATGTGCAATACAGTCTTTCTTCACGGTCATTTGGCGTGTACCCCCTCCATGTTGTTTCCTCACTTGTTTGTATGATTTTTCTTTTGAGTTGTAATTAAGCCAACCAAAATCAACTCTGCGTGTGTCTTTTCTGGCATTCTTATTGCCGAGTTTAGGTACATGCTGTGAGGTGTCTCTGGCTTCCGTTTGGCCCCTTCTATTCATCATTTTCAATCTTAACTTTTGTATCAACTTGTTCTCCTCTGGACCTCTTCCATGTTTTTGCTCGCTCTTGCAGTAGTTGATTACTGCCAGCCGGTCTCCGAAGAGGGGAAGATACCCTTGCAAATTCTGGTCTGTCATGAAGGGTATTACAGTTTCATCAATCTGAAGGAGGGAGGTTACAAAACAAACACATTGCAAATGAATACGTAGATCTATATCTGCATCAATAAATTAACAACCGATTCATGGTGCAACATTTCATTATTAGTTTCATCCTTTTTAATAGGGCACTCTTTTTTTAATACGATGGTTCTCATATCTTTTTCCATTTGAAGTACAGTTGGTCAGTCGAAAGAAAGTAACATTTCAACTATAAAAAAGTCCATGTTGCTGTTGTAGAAATAAATACAAACATTAGGCCAAGTGCGTTTTTTGTGATTGTCTAGCTGTATGTACTCGCATGAGTTCATTTTGGTTTCTGGCTGAGATAAAAGGATAAAATTGCTTCGCACAGAAACGTCACCTGATCTGCAACACGGAGTTACATACACAAAATCGCATATTTCCTGCTCGTTTTTTGATAAGTGCCCTTAGAAATTTCCCCAGTACTTTGTATTCTTTCTTGGCAGGGTCTTTTTGACAGGGTCGGGAAAAATACAAAAGCCTTTTTCATTTGTGGTCGGAGGCCAAAATTAGGGTGGTTGGAAATGAGAACCATACAATTTAAAAGGATGCCCTTATACCCATTATGGCATCAGTGACACTACTGGTAATAATGTAAGTGCATCAGAACACCACTTGACTAACCTTCTCCTGCTTCATCCTGTCGATTTGAGCTTCAGGTATTCCTCTCTCCTCATGCATAAACCAATATACATCTTTCCTTTGTTCAGCCATCTGTTTCAAACCAAAAATAATGAACACATGTCAGCAGTGCCGGTGACAGTAAGTGCTAGGATCCTAGGACTACAGGTGTGGATTTTGGGCTATGACATGGAACAAGGGGGGGGGGGGAGCGGTTGGGAGGTTTGGTCTTCACCCATATTCCTAAATAGTATTTTGTAGCCTCAAATCTACACTGACTAGTGCTTGACATCAGTGCTTTGGAGGTTAACTTGGTTTTGGTTGTTTAGAAAAATTCCCCAATCTGCCTGTTAACTTCTCTCTCCTTGAGAAAGGGGAGAGTTGAATCAATTGAATTTAGCCCGAGTATTAAGTACAGCTTGATTATAATGCATGCTGGTGGTGGGCAGAGGTGAGCAGCATAACTAGGACAGGCTAAATGTGGGGGGGGGGGGGGGAGGACATGATTCTATCAGCAGGATAGGTTCCAGCAAACCTGGCAGTGTCTATTCACTGTAACTGATTTATAATGTCAAATAACAATCCACCATACCAAGTTACCAGCTGTACACAGCCTCTGGAAAGAGTTCCAGTACGAAATTCACTTAACACCCGGTGTACAAACGTTATGACACTGGTCTGAGAAATTCTAAGTGTCTTGTATCATGTGAAAACTTGACTTCTATGGCATGTGTTTGCTTAGACGAGGACTTGGCTTCATTTCTCTATTTAAAAGCACTGTCTACTACCTCAACTTGTAGGCCTACATGTGTATTCTTTATACACAAAATCAATTCACATTTGGAAACCAAGTTGGACGATGTTTTTTTAAATTTCTATTGATTTGTGTTGACTTTTCTTTAAAGGCAGTGGATATTTTGCCGGAGACGGCAAACCTTCAGTAAACGTTAGTTTGCCGGATATGCACTGAACATGCGCAGTTACTGTTTTTTTTGTACTTAAAAACATTTTCCGGTGACAAATTTTAGTCTGGCTCCATGCCAATATTATTGTTGTAACTTTGTACAAGATGGGAATCAGACCATTTATAATTTCGGACTTTATTTCCCTTTAAAAAAAATCCTCCAGAGCCACAAATCTGAAAAAGAAAAAGTCATACTCTGCAATAAAAATTAAAATGTTTGAGACATATTAAAATAATAAAAGAAGAATATTCTTATTTATTTGGGGATGGTAAAAAAACCTTAAAAATGTGGCGGAGATCACAATTCGAACTCGGGACATCCCACTCTCTAGAGCAATTGCTTAACCAATTAATGCACCGATTGTGCTACACAACTTTAGTGTGAATTTAATACATGTTATAATTCAGCCCTATCTTAAAGAGTACAGCGCCCTCTGTTGATATGGATTGCCGCCGGCAAACCTTTAGTACGCGTTAGTTTGCCGGCGTTACCTCCGGCAAAATATCCACTACCTTCTTTAAATACTAAGTGAATTTCCATTCCCATTATTTACCTTGACCTGCCCACCCACAATTTGGAAAAACATCCAAATCTAAAAACATTGAACATTTGAACTGCCCTAGTATACATGTATATAAAACTTAATGCATACTTTTATAAGCCATAGTACTGTAACGTGCGTCGCCTAGTCGGTCCCTTGCCTCTCTGGCCCAGTCCCGATGGAGTTGAAGCACCTGCGGTTGGAGGCCACAGCACCAAGTGACGAACAGCACTCCCAAATCTGCTCCACCAGGGGAAAGCGCTAACTCAACTTGTGTTTGTGTTTTAGGGGATTGGGTGGATTAATCTGTGGTTTTGGGTGGATTAACCTGTGGTTTGGGTGGTTGACCGGTGGCTCTGGGTGGCTGACCGGCTGACCAGTGGCTTAAGTGGCTAAAGTGGCTCAAGTGGCTCGAGAGGCTCAAGTGGCTCAAGTGGGGGAGACTTACACCCTAATTAGTGACAATTAGACAATAAAACAGAGACAGGAGACTTCTTTGACTTCTTTGGTCCCACCAGGCGAAGAAGTGAGATTTATTCTCTCGAACTGTGCCTTTTATAGGCCAACATGGTCATATACATTCACATACAATAAATGCCCCTCATTACTTAAGTACACAGGGTGCCTCAACCAATGAAAATGCAGTATTGCTTAGTAGATGACTTAAGCCACGCCCACTAACAGCGCTGGCCAATTAAATGCTGATGTTCTAGTATGAGTGACTGGGCACTACAGACAAGTCACTATACAGTTTATGTTAATGTATAAAACGTATAGTTGATGATTCATCACACGACCTCCCCCCAGAGTTTTCAGTCCCTGAAACTGTTGAGTCTTAATTGATTAAAGTTTCCACACAATAACATTTGAAAACTTAAGATTTTGAATCAGAGCCACATCCTTCATTCAGTATTCTTATATAAAATTTACAATCTTTGTAAAAGTGGGTTTAATAAATCTCATAAGCAGCAGTATTTGTGCACACAAACCTAGTTTAACAATCATCTTAGAACAACTCTAAAATGGAATGATTATTCCTTTTTATCAACACATGGCTTTATATGAAATAGATGACTTTATATAAAATAGATGGCTTTATATAAAATAGATGAGCAACACTTTCAAAATACCTCTATAAAAGTCTTCTTAGTACATGTACATGTATAACAATATAAAGTGGTTCATATTAACCCAACTCCTTTAGAAATAACTTGGTCCTCAACTTTTAAAGTTTCAAAATTAACTGTAACTTTTAACATCAACTGTAAAACGTTTAACAACTTAACTAAACTTTAAAACTTTGAACTTCAAAACTCTTTTAACTTTTATAAATACTTGACAACTTGTGTGTAACTTTATACATGAGCTTGACTTAATTCTCTTATCTTGCTAGAAATAAAAGTCCTGCTTGGCCTCCTTCTGGTTGAACAGGACCCCTCGGTGGAAAACTCTTATGATGGTGGTTACTTCGATGTGATCTGCCGCCATCTCCCCAGCTGGGTCTTCACTTTCCGTGGAGGAGCTCACTTGGGGCACCATCTCGGTGTGAAGCTGCCTAAGCAGCTTCAATGACTTTCCCCCAGTCTTGGGGTGGCTAGTAGCAGTGGAGGTTGAGGTGGAACTTGCGGTGGCTGTGGTGGCTGAAGTGGAACTAGCGGTGGCTGTGGTGGCCAGCAGTTAAAAGTTGCCGCAACGATGACCATTTTAGCTGATTTTTCTGCTAAATCCCTTTCTTTCTTGTATGGGCTAAACTTCGTAATCCTGTAGCCTAGCGGGACGTCGTCGCTGGCGTTTTGGGTACCGCCCGACGAAGAGTTGGGTATTTGATGCTGGTTCTTGCTCCTCGTCTGGAATTAGGCCCATTGTGATATCTTCACTGCCGTTTCCTTGGACGGAAATTCGTTCCTCCCCCGCCGATTCTTGTTCTGTCGATCGTTCAACAGAGGGCTCGAGGTGAAGTGGGCATTCCCAATGTTGTCTGTGGTTTCTCCAAGTGGATCATCGTCCACCAAGTGAACACCATCTTCATCAGTTGGTGGAGGTTCCTGCTCATCCTCGGTCTCCGGCTCCACAGGAACGCTATCTCTCCCCTCGGTTCGCCATTTTCTTCTCTCTGGGCCTGTGTAGATCTTCAGTTTGTCATAATGCACAACCTTCGGCTTTGATTTTGGTTTCTCCTGAATCCGGAAGGTCACGTCTGATAACCTCTTCAGGACTAGATACGGGCCAATCCATTTGAACTGCAGCTTGGGAGACAATCCTTTCTTGCGTGCAGTGTTGTGCAGCCATACAAACATTCCAGCTTGTATCTTGCTACCCGAAACATGGCGATCATAGTTGCGCTTTTGCCTCCGAAGATTTACTTTCATTTTGCTCCGAGCTCTTTGATGTGCCTCACTCATTTTCTGTCGCAGATTTTTGGCATAGTCAGTCGACATGTGGTCATCACTGTCGTTTGGTAGTTCGGTAAGCGCGTGTAGTGGTAGTGCTATCTCCCGCCCCATAAGCATGGTGCAAGGTGACTCTCCGGTGCTTTCTTGAGCCGTACTTCGGTATGCCATCATCGAGTATGCCAACTGGACATCCCAATCCTTCTGGTCTGGCTTTACGAACGGCCCAACCAGATTCACCAAGCTTCGGTTGAATCTTTCAATGAATCCGTCGGACTTAGGGTTCCATGGGCAAGTCCGCGTCTGGTCGATCCCCAGCAATCTGCAAACTTCTTTGAATATGGCAGACTGGAAGTTTGTGCCTTGGTCACTGTGGAGTTCTTTTGGACAGCCGTATCTGCAAATAAATTGCTCCACCAGAGTTTCTGCTATGGTCGGTGTCTTCTGGTCTGGCAGTGCATACGCCTCAATCCACTTCGTAAATGGATCTCCCACAACTAGTACATACGCATTGCCTCGGTCGCTCTTGGGCAGGGGGCCCATAACATCCAGAGCGATTCTCTCCATCGGTGCGCCAACCGTGTATTGTTGAAGGGGAGCTCGGGGTTTCTTGCCCGATGATTTCCTCCTTGCACACACTGTGCATTGTCGAACCTTGGAACGCACATCGGCCGATACTCCTGCCCAGTAGTACCTTTGTCGGACCTTGTGTAGGGTTTTGCGCACTCCTTGGTGACATGCCGTTTTACTATCATGGAGTTCATCCAGGACACTTTCCCGCAGGCATGACGGCAAAATTACTTGCAACTTACATTGCCTTCCGTCATCTGTCTCAAAGCGTCGGCATAGAGCTCCCTGTTGCATCTTCAGCTGCTGCCACTGGGCCCAATATGTTTTGGTTGCTGCTGACTCAGTGGAGAGAGATTCCCACTCTGGTCTGTCCCCTCCATTCTCCTTAGCTCTGACAATAGGTCCAATCGTAGGATCACCCAACTGTTTCTCCCTCAGTTCCTTCAGCGTCCATTTTGGTGAGAGACTTATCATTCGGGTCCCACGATCTGCATTCACCCCTGTCGTCGGTACGTTTTGTTGGCCTTGACCTTTTCCTTCTGTCTCCTCCTGTCTTCCCTCGTTCCGAGGATCGTCAATTGCCGAATCTTCTGGGCAACTACTTCTAGGCATCTCCACCTGGTCCTTTTCGTTCTGCTCCATACCTCTTCCGCACTGCTTGCATGGCATGCGGGAGAGTGCATCGGCATTCTGGTGGACTCGACCTGGCCGATGTTGGATCGTGAAGTCGTACTCACTCAAGATCTCCATCCATCTAGCCAGTTGTCCTTCTGGGTCACGGAAGTTTAGCAACCATCTCAAGGCTCCATGATCGGTTCTGATTTCAAAGTGTCGACCATACAGGTAATGCCGGAAGTGCTTGACAAATGTCACAACGGCCAGGAGTTCTCGCCTCGTGACGCAGTAATTCCTTTCTGGCTTTGACATAGTGCGGCTGGCATATGCAACGACTTTCTCCACACCATCATGTTTTTGGGATAGCACAGCTCCCAGGCCTGTGCTACTGGCATCCGTGTCTAGTACAAACTC